TTTGTAAGCATGGATGGGATTTATTTTCTCTTTACCAATTTTAATGAGTTAACTCTATGTACAAAGTAACCACACAAAAATAAAGTCTCAGATTTCGTTACCCGAAGATCTGGTTCCCTGCCATTCTTCCCCTGTCCCTCATAGCATTGAGCGAGGACTGAGGTTACTGAGCATTGCCCCTTGCTGCCATCCACAATAGAAGCACCTGTCTCTCCATAAAAGACCCAGGGACCTGCTCCCTGCCAGTCCCATTGCTTCCAAGGCCTGCCCAAGGTTTGCACGCTGGACATCTTAGTTCTCCCAGCTTGGGGATTGTGGATAGAAACTACCATATACCTTCACTGGAGACTGGATGGTCTTTGCCCCTGTTCAAGACTCCAGCCCAGCAGACATGAGATTAGTCAGAAAGGATGGTAATAATCTTTTGTGCAAAGTACTCTGATTTCGGATTAAAGACCTTAACATTAAACCTGAATCTCTGAAACTACTACAGGACAGAGTAGGAGAGACACTTGAACTAATAGGCACAGGAAGGAACTTCCTGAACAGAGTCCCAGGGTCACAACAAGTTGGAGAGAGACTCGACAAATGGGACTACCTTAAAATAAAAAGCTTCTGCACAGCTAAATCTATCGCAACTAAGCTAGAAAGACAACCAACTAATTGGGAAAAAATATTTACCAGCAATATATCAGACAAGGGGTTAACATCCTGTATATACAGGGAACTCAAGAAACTAATCCCTCCCAAACCTAACAAACCAATTACTAAATGGGCAAGGGAACTAAAGAGGGACTTCTCAAATGAAGAAATAAAAATGGCAAAGAAACACATGAGGAAATGTTCATCATCCCTAGTGGTGAAGGAAATGCAAATAAAGACAACCCTGAGATACCACCTTACCCCAGTCAGAATGTCCCACATCCACAAATCAGCCAATGACAAATGCTGGAGGGGATGTGGAGAAAGAGGAACCCTGTTACACTGCTGGTGGGAATGTACACTTATACAACCACTTTGGAAAGCAGTCTGGAGGGTCCTTAGAAAGCTAAAGATTGACCTCCCTTACGACCCAGTCATACCACTTCTAGGCATCTACCCTGAACAACAGGAACCAATATACAAGGACACGTGCACCTCCATGTTTATTGCAGCACTGTTCGCAATAGCCAGGATATGGAAACAACCTAGATGCCCCACCACAGATGAATGGATCCAAAAATTGTGGTATCTATACACAATGGAATATTATGCAGCCATTAGAAATGACAAAATAATGGCATTTGCAGGGAAATGGATGGAGCTAGAAGGAATCATGTTGAGCGAGGTAAGCCAAGAACGAAGAGACAAACGGTACATGGTCTCCCTGATAAGTGGATGCTAAATCCAAAAGGTTAGGTGATACGATAAAACTAACAGGACTTAAGAAACAAAGAACTCCCGCTCATGTGGTTGAACCACTACTAAATATCCCCATGCTGCTGATCACAAATATGGTATATAACATGTGAACACTGTTATATATTACAGACTGTGGTAGACAATTTGCTCCAGGGAAGTTAGAATGAACTTGTGACTTTGAAATTATGTAATCATTTAATCACAATCAAAAAAAAAAAAAAAAAAGAACCTCGGGGAAGGGAGGGAGGGAGGGGATGGTAGGGGGAAAACAATGGAGGGGGTAACAATGTTCAAGAGGAAGTGTACTCATAACCTCACTCATGTAACTGTAACCCTCTGTATAGTAGCTTTACAATAAAAAAAAAAAAAAAAAAAAAGTACTCTGATTTCCCTGAAAGTGATATACTTGAGGAGGAGTTGAACCTGTACTAGAGAAGCCAGGCAGCTGTAGCTTTAGGAGGCTCTCAGGATGACTCTTTTGCCTATTACCCTGCCTACCCTTTGATTTTGTGTGTGTGTGTGTGTGTGTGTGAGTGTGAGAGAGAGAGAGAGAGAGAGACAGAGAGAGAGAGAGAGGGTGCTAGCATATGTGCACGCAAGCACACTCCTAGGGCTTGAACTCAACACCTGTGCACTGTCACTGAACTTGTTTTACTCAAAGCTAGCACTCTACCAATTGAGCCACAGCTCTACTTCCAGCATTTTTTCCCCCTTTATGGTAGTTAATTGGAAATAAGAGTCTCACAAACTAAGCCAGGTGCCGGTGGCTCACACCTGTAATCCTAGCTACTCAGGAGGCTAAGATTGAGGATCACAGTTCAAAGCCAGCCCGGGCAGGAAAGTCTGTGAAACTTTTTTTTTTTTTTTGGGGGGGGGGGGGTCCGGTCATGGGGCCTGAACTCTGGGCCTGGACGCTGTCCCTCAGCTCTTCAGCTCAAGGCTAGTGCTCTACCACTTGAGCCACAGCGCCACTTCTGGCTTTTTTCTTTTTGCTTATGTGGTGCTGAGGAATCGAACCCAGGGCCTCATGCATGCAAGGCAAGTGTTCTACCACTGAGCCACCTTCCCAGCCCCAAGTCTGTGAAACTCTTATCTCCAATAAACCACCAGAAAACCAGAAATGGCACTGTGGCTCAAGTGGTAGAACACTTGCCTTGAGCGGAAGAGCTAAGGGTCAGTGCCCAGGCCCAGAGTTCAAGCCCCACAACCGACCAAAAAAAAAAAAAAATCATTGAAAATCAACTTAGATTTTTCAAGAACATCAACCTCTATGGGATCATTTAATATGAGGTGTTTGACCTTTCCTCTTAGAGGAAATCTGGAAAATATCAAAAGGAATGAAGAAGAGGGAAGCCCCAATCTGGTAATGTCACTCTTCACACTCTCTGTAATTAATGATTTATTCACTGTGGGACTCTTCCTTGGTGCCCAGACTGGGATGCAAGTCCTGGAGGCCAGGAACAGTATCCCCTGTATTTTGTGTTCAGTCCAGGCATGGGTGTACCTCCTTGATACAGGGGAAGAGTCCAGCTTTGAAGTCTATTAGGCCCAGCTCACGTGTTCATTCTTTGTATTCCTTTTTACTTCTGTGTAACCAATGTAAAACATCATTCATAGCTCTGTAGGTGGGTAGAAGATTCAGGTCTTGTGGCACCCCATCCCCTTTCCTTGTTTAGGATCTACCAAGGCTAAATAAGGTGTCAGCCAGGGTAGCCTCTCATCTAGAAGCTTTTTTGGGGGGAGGGAGAATGTACTTTCAGCCTCATTTAAGTTGTGGGCAGAATCCTGATCCTTTGTGACTATAGGAATGAAGGGGGGGAATGTGCTTAAAACAAACAAGACAGGGCTGGAAAGGTGGCTCAGTGGTAGTGCGCTTGCCTTGCATGCTCAAGGCCCTGGGTTCGATTCCTCAGCACCACATAAGCAAAAAGAAAAAAGCCGGAAGTGGCGCTGTGGCTCAAGTGGTAGAGCGCTAGCCTTGAGCTGAAGAGCTGAGGGACAGCACCCAGGCCCAGAGTTCAGGCCCCACGACCAGACCCAAACAAACAAACAAACAAACAAGACAGATAGAAGATGCGTGGATCTTTGCACAGGTGCAACCATGTGGTGCTTACCCAGATCAAAATGGCTGATGCCCATATACCCTTATTTCTGTAGGGGACAGGAAGAATGAGGAATTTGGACAGTTGAGAGGCCCTCAGCAATACTTAGGGGAATGAGTAGTACCAGAGACAAATTGGAATTCAAATGAGCTTAAAATTCTAGCATGCTTGGGCTGGGAAGGTGGCTCAGTGGTAGAGCGCTTGCCTTGCATGCCTGAGGCCCTGGGTTCAAGTCCTCAGCACCACATAAGCAAAAAGAAAAAAAGCCGGAAGTGGCGCTGTGGCTCAAGTGGTAGAGAGCTAGCCTTGAGCTGAAGAGCTGAGGGACAGTGCCCAGACCCAGAGTTCAGGCCCCATGACCGGACCCCCCCAAAATAAAGATTCTAGCATCCTCGTAGTGGGCAAGCTTTCAGTGAGCCCCAGTCCCAAGCTAGGTGCCTGGGATTCCAGGTGGGACAGAGCAGAGATCATGTTGTCAGCAGCAGGCAGCTCTTCTTGCTGCTAAAGATTCTAGAACAAACCTCTCACTGCTACTGGGTGGTAGAAGCCAGGCCAGGTAAGAGGGACTTGGATTCTGAACTTGCTTTAAGGCCTCTTAGTTTCCTTTAGGTCAAATTACCCAGCATGCCAAAACATACCCTATTTGGGGGGAGGAGGAGTGTCATTCTCTAAACTCTAACTTGACTGTAGGTCTGAGGTCCCATTTTCTTGTTGGTATGTTTGGAATCCCTGACTTCCCACTACCAACCAGAGGAAACTGTTGGCTTTTGGAAGGCCTCTAATGATTACTTTTAGCCATGCAAACTATTTCCCTTTTGTCACATAATGTAATCAGGAAAGATACCAGGGGACAACAATCACAGGGCCACCCTAAGGCTCTGCCAGCTTCTCCTTTTCACCTGAATGGTCTCCTCTGGAAAGGTACTTCTCTGAGCCTCTCTTTTCAGGTGTCACATGGGCCCAATGATCTGTCCTGTCTGCTTTAAATAAGAGTCAGAGAGAGTACCTCTGTTGGGTTTGGTGAGGGCTCTCTCTCCTGCCCTTCCTTCCCCCTTTCTCTCTCACATACACCCAATCTTTGTTAAGCCAGTTTTATTTGAAATATACAAAGTTGTAAAAAAAACCTAACTTTAAAGTACTTGGCATTCCAAAAAGTTATCATGACTCCTAACTTTTCTCTACCAAGAAATAGAAAAAAAAAACAACTAGAGAGGCCATATGCCCTCTTCATAACTCTCTGGTGTTTTCTTCCTCCTCCCATCCTAAATGAAGATGGTCTCTCCATTTCAGCTGCTGCCTCTGGGAGCATTGGGGGTTGGGATGTGACTGTCCCGTGTCCTCAGACAAGTGGTAGTTTCTGGTCAGAGGCCAGCCCAGCGTGCAGCTGGCCCCTGCCACTCAGCACAGAGAGGCTGGCCAGCCAGGCGGAGGCCGCAGTGGGTTCTGGGGCCCACTGGCAGCTCACCCTGTTTCTTGTCTTCCCTCTATTCCCCTTAGGAGATCCCCCGAGAACTCACACTGGACGTTCTGCTGGAGATGGACGAAGCGAAGGCAAAGGAGACGCTGCGGCGCTCGGGGGCCAGTGCGGAAGAATGTGGCCGCCTGCAGCAAGCCCTCACTTGCCTGCGGAAGGTGACAGGCCTGGGTATGTAGGACCTTCCTCTGAGCCAGGCCTCAACCTCAACTGTCTTCCCAGGCCTGACCCATGCCCTGGGAGGTGGGCAATGGAATTGGACAAATCTGACTCTGGGTTTCTAGGGGCAGCTGGTAATGGTTAATGTGCCTCAGAAAGTGTGTGTTGGGCCCTGACTGAGGGAGCTCTCCCAGAATCCTCAGGACTCTGATGTGCATTGGCCTGGCCAGTCTGATGGGAAGCTGTAGCTACTGTGAAGAATCCCCAGCAGGCTCTTACATGATTTTCCTGCAGCAGGAAGGCCTGCGTGGTGGCTCTGGGCCCTCCACCAGCTTCCTGCATTCCAGTCCCCCCCACCCGTTTTAGCCCTTTCCCCCTCTTCCTCCAGTCCCCACCCCACCAGCAAGCTCTGTGTTCACGTTAGTGTAGGCTTGCTTGAGCCAAGCGTGATTAGAAAAATTATGCGGCTTTTCAGCTGAGTGAGCACACTTCCATCCCAGGCAAACTGTAGTTCTGGCATTACTATGGCTCCTTGGGAATTATTCACAGGCTCTGTAAATCTTGCCATGGAAATAGCTCCAAATGCCTGGCTTACCGCTCCTTCTACCACTCAGATATGACATTAAAATGAGCCTAATGAATGGAATTAGGCCCCTTTTAAATTATCTGAGCTCCCTGTGTTATCTCCAGCTTGCCTGAGGCTTAAGGAAGGCACCAAGGCTTATGTTCTGCTCGGTTTCTTTCCCCCCAGAGAGGATTAGATTTTAATTTTCCACTGTATGAAGCTATCTGCACATGGAGCTCAGCGTAGAAAGTTTCACTCCGTTTGGAAAATCTTGTCACTCCAAGTCTCTTGGCAGGTGCTGGAGATACATATGATAGAGGCATGATCATCGGTCTCGTCCCCACATCTTATAGGAGAGATTTGAGCCCAGAGAGGGCAAGGGGTGTGGTCAGGGACACACCATGCTCTGTTGGTAGCAGAGCCAGGATCACCATCAGACTCATCCTCCAATGTTGGCTGAGTTGTTTCCATATAGTGAAAAGTTAAAGGACTTCCCTCCCAAACTGGCATCTTTGGGGTCACTCTACAATCCTCCGTCCCTTATAGCTGTTGTTAAAAAAATTGTAGAGGAGCCAGCTGGCAAGTGGTAGTAATCCACTGAAATTACAAAGGCTTCTGTCTTTCCATCCAAGGTGCCAAGACAGGGAAATCACTAACTCATTAAACACGGCTGTGTGCCAGACATTTGGCATACTTGGTGGTTGAAGCCTTGGAAGAGGTGGTGTATAGCTCAAAGTGCCTGGGCATTGGCAGTGCTGAGTGAGGGGTCTGGGTCCCACATCTGGCATAGGCACAGCCAATTTCTTTTGGTTTCAAAGAAACTAGGTAGTTCCAACTGTGCTCAGGAGGAAGTCCTGGGAAGGGGACTGTTACCTGGTTCCTTCTCTTTCATTCAGTGTCAGCCCGAGAGGAACCTTAGTGGACCTTTGAGAGACCTGGCCCAATCCCAGTGCACAATGAAGTCCTTGGTTCTGCTAGCTGTGGCTGTACTTCAATAGTGCCTGCTAGGGACTGGGGTACCAATGTTTCCTCCATAGGGTCATGCTTTCAGAGCATCTTTATTGCCATCCAGCAGAGCGTGGTGAGAGTGGTCCTGTGGCAATGGGCTGTGGATCTGACCTCTGTATGACCAAACAGTTAGGATCCATGGGACCACAGTGCCTCAGGTTTTTCATCTGTTCAATGGGACCAATAGCAGTCCCTCTGTCATAGGGTTGTTGTGAAGATGCAGTGAGTTAAGGTGACATGCCTAGATGTTCTAAAAAAAGAACAAGTATTAGGCTTGAGGAGAGATGGAAAATGTTGAAATCAATTTCCTTGTGGCCTCTGGTCTTAAGAAAGATGCATGAAAGATAGCTATCTGTGCTGGTACATAGAGAATTCCTACTGATACTCCTAATCCTGCATCTGAAGCAGACATCACTAATCAATTCATGAACTCTTCTACTAGTCAGTCTGTGCAAGTGGCCTTCGATATTGCCTGAACCTCAAGTCCCATTTACCATCCCTGAACTGACCCTAAGCAAAGATAATTAAAATAGGCAACTTGGAGAATTCAGGACTTAATTCTTTTGGTGGCAGACTTGTCCCCAGGTTTATGGACCTTGTTCTTCTCCTATAAGGGACAGTCATACATCCAGTGTCTCCTATAGGCTAGCATATAAGCTGAAGGTCAATCGTGGCTATGGTTCTAAGAAGCAAGCAGCATGGGGACACAAGGGCTGTCTTGGCTACCTAGTTGACTTGAGAGTGTAACTTCTCCACGCAAAAGTGGGAGGAGGGCTGTTTGCAGAGATGGAATGCACAAAGAATCCTTAAAGAATTGTGGAGGCTAACCACCCCAATGCATAGCCTTATCAGCTAGGCTCAGCCACCTCTGATGACAGAGAGCTCATTACCTCCAAAGCTTTTCCACTGTATTAAAATCAGTGGAAGAGAAGCATAGTGCTTTGATTGAGGTCGAGGAGTTCATTGCGCATCCTGGGGCAGGGATTTTGGTATCTCTGAATCACAGGGGCCTCACTTGGACAGTGGAGAGAAGAGAGGAGCGTGTAGGGGAGACAGGGCATACATAGCAACTATCAAAAGGGCTCTTGTGTAGAAGGCTATCTTGACTTGAGTCAGTCTCCCTTCCTGGCCTTGCTGCCCACCAATGAGGATGAGAGAAGAGAGGTGGCTCCTCCTTCCTCCCATGGCCTCTAAAGTCTTCTGCCTATCTTCCACCTTCTAGCATCTCTCGTCTTTCAAACCTGCAGGCTAGTAAGATACCTGAGGCCCTTCCTAGGCTGACCCAGCTGGCCTGACCCTCGTCTTCATTTGCCTCTCCCTCACTTGTCTTGACCTTTCCAGGAACACTGGACTCTATAGTTCTTGGAAGATACCAGCCCTCTCTGGCTGGTAGTGGCTCCGCCTCCCCTGCAGAGTCCCCATGCCCCTTTCTCCAAGCTCACAGCAGGCCATGTTTTGTGTCCATCACTCTACTGGACTCTAGAAGCATGGGGCCTGTGTCTCCTACCTTTAAACCCTGCAGAAACTTCAATACGTGGACCAGCTAGGCCTTGGATTCAAACCCCTTAAAGCCTTGAAGTCTCAGCAGCCTGGGCCAAAGGGTCATGCTGAGGTCAGATGAAGGTCACCCCTTCAGAAGGGAGTAGCAGTGGACCCCGTTGTTTGCTGGTATTTGTTCGGTTGTGTGTCAGTACTTGGGCTTGAACCCAGAGGCTAGGTGCTGCCCCTCTTTTTTCACTCAGGGCTGTTGCTGTATTGCTTCAGCCATAGTTCCCTCCAGTCATTTTTGTTTTTTTTTAAAACAGGGTCTCACTATGTAGTTCATACAGGCTGCCCTTGAACTGATGGCCCTCCTTCCTCATCTTCCTCCCTATCCCCTCTCTACTGCTGGGATTATAGGCACGAACCACCATGCCTGGCTATTTGAATTTTCTTAAAAGTGGAGTCTTTACTTGCTTGTCATACTCTAGTTTCCATTTCCTAAGATCAGTTACCACACCACTTCTCTTTCTGGGGTAGTCTACTTTGGGGCCTCTCTGGGCCCCCTTTTGCCCTCCACAGTGGAGGTAGTCATTGTGCTTAATGGCCTTATGTTACCTGGGTGCCATGGATGGTACTGGGGGAGGAGGGGGGGAAAGACCTGGACAGGCCAGGTAAAACCAGGAGGTAAAGCCACACTGTGAGAAACGTGGTCACCACAGACAGTACTGACTGCTCTGGACAATTGGGGCCCCTGAGAGTCCCAATCCCAGCCCTGTGTCACCCCTTGGCCCACAGGAGGAGAGCACAAGGAGGACGCAGGCTGGAGCTGCGTGGATGCTCGGCGTGGAAGTGGCTCGGGGCCTTCTGTGGACACCCTGTCCCCTGCCAGCCTGCCCTGGCCCCCAGGGAATGCCCAGCTGGGCAGAGTGGGCAACAGTGCCCAGGGCCCCCGCTCCGTCTCTGTCTCTGCTCTGCCCGCCTCCGACTCCCCAGCCCCGGGCCTTAGTGAGGGCTTCTCAGATACCTGTATCCCCCTGCATGCCAGCGGTCGGCTGACACCCCGGGCCCTGCACAGCTTCATCACACCCCCCACCACGCCCCAGCTGCGACGGCACGCCAAGCTGAAGCCACCTAGGACGCCCCCGCCACCCAGCCGAAAGGTCTTCCAGCTGCTGCCCGGCTTCCCCACACTCACCCGCAGCAAGTCCCACGAGTCCCAGCTGGGGAACCGCATCGACGAGGTCTCCCCAATGAGGTGAGTTTGCACTGCAACTTTCTGCTCATTAAGGAACAGAAAAGAAAAAAAAAGGAGGGACTGGGAAGGTGTCTCAGTGGTAGAGTGCTTGCCTTGCATGCATGAGGCCCTGGGTTCAATTCCTCAGTACCACATAAACAAAAAGAAAAAAGCCAGAAGTGGTGCTGTGGCTCAAGTGGTAGAGCACTAGCCTTGAGCTGAAGAGCTGAGGGACAGCGCCCAGGCCCAGAGTTCAGGCCCCATGACTGGACCCCCCCCCCCAAAAAAAAAAGAAAAAAAAACGGAGCCGGCCGCTAGTTGCTCACGCCTATAATCCTAGCTACTCAGGAGGCTGAAATCTGAGGACCAAGGTTCAAAGCCAGCCCAGGCTGGAAAGGCCAAGAGACTTATCTCCAATGAACCACTCAGAAAACCGGAAGTGGTGCTGTAGCTCGAGTGGTAGAGAGCTGGTCTTCAGCTGAAGAGCTGAGGGACAGCGCCCAGGCCCAGAGTTCAAGCCCCACAAGCAACCAAAAAAAAAAAAAGGAAAGAAAGAAAAGCAGGGCTGGGAATTTAGCTCAGTGGAAAAGTACTTACTTAGCAAGTACAAGGCTCTGAGTTCGATCCTCAGCTCTGCAAAATAAAAAGAAGGAAAAAGAAAGAAAATCAACCCATATAGGAGTAATAAAAAGCAAAAGGTGCCTCCACCTCTCAGTCTAGGCCGCACACAAACAAGCATTTCAGTCTAAATCCCTCTAAGTACTTTTTGGTACATGTGAAACAAGGCAGGGTAGGCTGGGTTAGGCTTGCAATGATAAACAGCTCCCAGGGCCGGGAAAGTGGCTTAGTGGTAGAGTGCTTGCCTTGCATGCATGAGGCCCTGGGTTCGATTCCTCAGCACCACATAAACAGAAAAAGCCAGAAGTGGTGCTGTGGCTCAAGCGGTAGAGCACTTGCCTTGAGCTGAAGAGTTGAGGGGCAGCGCCAAGGCCCAGAGTTCAGGTCCACGACTGGCAAAAACAAACAAACAAACAAACAAAAAAAAAAAACAGCTCCCCAAATCCCTGGCTTAAAACAACAAAGGTTTGTTTCTCACAGGCTGGTAGAGCAACTACCACCCGGAACTCAATCCCAGTCTCAGCCTTCTGACTTCTAGGATTACAGGTGTGAACTGCCATGCCAGTCTCTTTTCCTTATTTCCAGACTGGGAATAATCTGGAAAAGGAAAAGTTACCTTTTTTTTTTTTTTTTTTTTTTTTTTTGCTGATACACAGTATGTAATTAAGCCTACATTGATCCATTGGCTAGAATACAGTTCAAACACAATTGAAGGTAACAGTATCTGCAGGGCAGACTGAGTTCTTTATCAATACATAGGAACTTTTTGTAACTATGCTTGATTAGAACTATGTGTAACAAATCCAGATATAAGGCAGGTGTGCCATATATTGGTACTGAACATGTTCAGACTTTTTCCCTTTGCCTTCCTTCCTCCCTCCTCTCTTCTTCCTTCCTTTCTCTCTCTCTCTCTCTCTTTCTTCTATGTAGCCCAGATTGGCCTTGAACTCAAAATTCCACTGTCTTAGCATGTACCACCATGCCAGTCTCTTGTCCACATTATGTCTTAAACAGTACCGTTTAACAACTACTTACATAGCATTTTTATTGAGTAAATGACAGTCACATGGTCCAGAATCCTAGTGTTGTGGCCCATGTCTCCTGTCTCTGTGGAGATAGACAGGAAAAAGTAGACCTCCACCATTTTTACTCAGTCACCTGGCTTCCTTTCAGGAGCCAAACAGCGTGTCATTCTGTTTATATACTCCTGTAGCAATTCAAATACACTCACATAAACTTCTTTCATATCATTTAATTTACAGTTTATTTAACTTGTCTTCTACTGGACATTTAGGTCATTTTGGGGTTTTTGTTGTTGTTGTTGTTGTTGATACAAAACTTGTCCCTGAAGAGGACCCATGTGGTCAGGACTGAAAGGAAACTGTTTTCTTTGTGTGCCTTTTTCCTTCTTGCACCCCTGAGGATTGGCACACCTGGCTTCCCTCCTTGTCTAGAGGGTTCCTCAGGCCCTGGAGTCTTGTTTGCTGGACTCACTTGCTCCCACGCAAAATCCTGGGATTCTGAATCCACCCCTACTCCACTCTTCCCCCCTCCCCCCAATCAGAACCAGCCCTGACATAGGTGACTCTTAGCTCCTTCATTCCTGGAGACAATGGCAGCCTCAGAGGAGGTGTTCTTACTTGGCCCATCTTGGGGTTCACCTTTGAGTTCTGCACAGCTATTCTCCTTTCCCTCTTGGCCCAGCCATAACCTCTCCAGGATATCCTGCCTAAACCCTGGACAGGACTCCCCCACCTATGGGTCACATGACCTAGGAAGACTCTGAGGATCTCCATTTTCTCAGCTGAGAAATGAGGTGAATTCTGTCATGCTGGCTAGGTTTAAGTAAGCTCTTCTGTTAGAGTGCACAGCACAAGTTCTTATTTAGCTGTCTCCACAGGAATTGCTGGCGTTCCCACAGTCATTCAGCCTGTCCCAAATTAGGCCTCTGTCCCTTGTCCCAGCTCCTGGCCTTCTCCCTCCCCAGGGTAATGGTCTAGGAACAGGATGAGCCAGCATGGTGACATAATCCCTCTCTCTCCTTTTGTCTCCTCCAGGTTGGGTAAGAGTGATTCGTTTTCGTCCCCTCTGCTACCAGAAGTCACATTTGTGTTGCTGTCCCCGTCGGGGGTGGATTTCTCTGACCCTCTCTTAGCTCACTTGGCCTTTTTGAAGTCCAGAAGCAGAGGGCTAGTAACCACTGCAGAAAATAGCTCTGACACCGGTGGCCTTAAAGTGACAGGTGACCTCAGCCCAGCACATGGCTCCTTTCTGAGAAATAAAGACCAGACGGGCCCTGTCTCCACCTTGCCATCTGGAATGCCCTGCATGGTGGATGCTTGCCCTCAGGGCTCCCCTGATACAACAGTGCTTCCAGAAGGAGGCGCCGCTGCCTGCTTGGGGCTCTCAGAGCCCTGGTAAAGGTCCCCAGACCTCTGTCTCCTCATGGTAACACAGTCCTGATGACAGCTCTGAATCACAGGGTGCATATCCCCTTGGATGGGCAAGAGGGAGCCCCTTTTCCACCCTGAATTTCAGGGCTGGAATGAGTGTCTCGTACTGCTCTGTGGAGCTTCTCATGACTAAAAGCAGTGGAGACTGCTGGCACTGGCATCTGAGCAGAAGCCAGAGATGCCTCAGTTTCTCTAAGTTTCACTGCTGAGCAGAGTGAAGGGGCTATGGGTAAGGTATTGGGAGGAGGAAGGGTTTGTAGCAGTAGTTCTGGAGGGAGCTGCTGCAGGTACCCAGGGAAGGTTGGGGTGCAAAACAGGGCGGGGCGGGCCTTGAGCTAGGATCTGATGGCTCAAGCCTGTAATCCTAGCTACTCAGGAGGCTGAGATCTGAGGCTTGCAGTTCAAAGCCAGCTGGAGCAGGAAAGTCTGTGAGACTCAACCACCAGAGAACCGGAAGTGGCACTGTGGCTCAAGTGGTAGAACATTACAGCGCCCATGCCCAGAGTTCAAGGCCCATGGCGGACAAAAAAAAAAAGAGGGGAGGAGTCCTTGACAGCTCTTCCTTAGGACAGCCCTGACCCTGTTATTCTACAGTTATCATCTACGCAACAGTGAGACTGTTGGCTTTCAGGGCCTGTGCTCCATCTACACCAAAGAGTGGGGTGCTCTTTGGTAATTATCCAGTCCCTATACCTGTGGCTGATGTTACCAATCAGAGGGTGTGCTCTGAGCTAAATGGCTGACCTTTCATCTTCCTGTTGTCTCTGTCTCTTTAGCTGGTGGCTCACACCACTAACAATGTTTTAGTTGCCTTTGCTTCTGACTAGAGTGGTCCAGGAGGAAGTTGGGGGTGTCCACCCTGTCACAAATGTGCCAGAGAACTGCAGGCGATGGATGACTCTGCTTTAGGTGGACTGTGTCCAGCTGTTCATTCCTGCACAGCCTGCCCAAGTCTGTTCTTAAGGAAGTCCCTAAGAAACCCTCCAAGGAGACAAAGGCCCTTCTCAGCAGAGCAAGGAGGTGCTAGAGACATCTCCAAAGGCTGGGTCTACTGTGTGGCAGGTTGGGCTAGCCCTGTGGAGTTTTACACAGTCCTTGCCTTCCTTCAAGACTAGCAAGGGTGGCTCGTAGAGAAATGCCCTCAATGTCTGCTGGCCAGAAGAGCATAAGTTGAGGTGTGTAGATAGCCCTGAGCTCTTCACCGCCATCAAGCTTCTACCTACGTAAGGTGTAAACAGAATGAAGGCCCAGAAGCAGGATGTTCATGAGTAAGGGAGTGCAAAATTTCTCTTGCCTTTGCATTTTCTGCCTCCCAAGCCTGCTGTCCACTGAAGCAGAAATCTGTATGAAGGTGGTACAGGCCACTGTGAGATGGCGACCTGCTCTGATCCCCTGGCTGGCCCACCCCCGTTTCATACACATTGATTTGTTTGTCTTTGTACCATGAGATGTTCCACCCCATTCCATTAGAGCCTATGATCCCTGAACTAGAAGGTCACAGACACACACCATCAGAGGCAGAGCTTCCTCAGTTTACCCAACCTGGCCTCTGCCCCTGCAGATCTCCAACATGGATCCCCACAGATGGTACGAAGGGACATCGGACTCTCGGTGACACACAGGTAGGTCCAGGTGGGGAGGGGCTACAGAGCTGGCCTGAGTTCCACAGGGTGCCAGGATTCCCTGTTGAGTTGTGCTATCTGCTCTAGCTGGTTGAGGCACATGTTGGGGTCACATTGCCAGTGAGATAGAGCTTGAGCCCAGGGGCTTTCCAGGGACTTTTGCCTGGAGCCTTGGCAGGTCTGAGATCTGGTACCCAAGATCTACTGTACACCCATGCAGAGAGAGGAGGGCTAGACTAGGCCCTCTCCTATGTTCTCTGAGCCAACTGCCCAAAATCCTAGACCTGCCTAATTCCTGGAGGAGGGTCTTAATGACAAGTGAGCTAAAGTTTGTGGACACATTAAAATTGTTCCACCAGTGTGATACATAGTCATTATGTTAATCCTGTGATACTATGCTTTTAAAAAAAATGAACAAGCAAAACAGTATTCCCCCCACTCTTAGTTCTTCCTGCCCTGAGGACTGGCCTGGGGCTTTATTTTTCTGGAGGATGCTACCTGTTTAAACCCATCCTTTTTTCTAGGTCCCATCTATTTTTTCCTCCATTGTTTTTTTTAAATAGATTTTAGATTGAAAATACATTCAATAGTCAAGAGGTTTGAAGGGGTGGAGAGAAAGGCTCCCCATTCCTGTTCCTTGGTCCCCACTTGTGCTGTCAACAAATCTCAAGAGTTTCCTAGGTATCTTTCAAGAGATACTTTAGACAAGCAGATCTGACCTGTACACTGTATATGCTATACACTGGTTTATACTTTGCTTTGAAATTGCATGATCTATATAGGACAAAATACACACTGGGATTTATATATGTATGTCTATGTGTCTATATATCCAGATGAAACTACAAAGATATTGCAGCACCCAGGAAGTTCGTTGTCTGGCTCTGTCACTGCTCTGCAGTTCAGATTCAAGTCTGTCACCATAGATTAGTTCTTCCTGTGCCTGATCATATCCTAGCTAACTTTGGTCACTTGACAATGTGATTTGTAGGTCATTAATATGCACATGGAAGGAATTTCTTTATTTTATTCTCCAAGCCTTTGTAGGGGCAAACTGTACTCCAGTGGGTTACCTGCTGATGGATATATATGGTCATTCTGCCATACGTATGCTGCACGGGCACCTTTGCCTGTTGGGCACCCAGGAAATATGGGAAAGGGAAGTAAATTCTAAGGACTGGCCTTGCCAGTGATGCTCACTGGTGATTAGTTCAATCGTAGCTGGGAAATCTGAATCCTCAGGGGAACGAGGAGCAAGGGCTCCTGGGGCTCAGCTCTTGGGACTGGGGGTTGGAACCAAATAGTTCCTTCAGTAGCCAGGCTCTGATCTCCATGGGTATGTCCAACCCTGCAGGTTCTCCACCAAGTCCTGGCTGTCGCAGGTCTGCCACGTGTGCCAGAAGAGCATGATGTTTGGAGTGAAGTGCAAGCATTGCAGGTGACAGGCGTGTATGGGAGGGAGCCATAGCCCTGGTACTTCATTCTTGGACTTAGGTCATGTCAGAGCTCAGTAAAGTTCTCTTAAGCCTGTAGTTCACAATCCCATCCAGCACAACAAGAGTGATGGGCCCTCTCTAGAGGAGATTTAAGTGAGGCACTCTAGGAAGAAGGGAACTGTTAGGTGGGCTTTGGAGGATGACAAGTTTACTAAGTAGACCAAGAGAGAAAGAGAATTCAAAGGTAGGGTGGGAAGCGGGGGCTGTCCTGGGAGCCATAAGGCATTCTAAAGTTTTGCTTTACATTTTAGCGCGCGCGCACGCGCACGCGCACGCACACACACACACACACACACACACACACACACACACACACACGATGTGGGAAGTGGACAGGTGATGGTTGAAATGGGGAGAGTGAGGAGGGAATGTAGATTCCAGCCACACCCTGCTTTACTGTGGTTTCTAGTGAGCAAGGACAGGACAGGGAACAGTGTAAGGTGGGCAGTCTGTCTCTGTTTTCTGGTGGGTCTCCCCTTATGGACGGTGGCCCAGAGTCTCACTTTGCAGCTCACCTAGCCCCACCTTGCTGTGAGACTTGAGGCAAGATGCTTGACCTTTCTGGACTTCATTTGTGTCATTTATACATCGGGGAAGATGAATCCATCAGGACTGCTCTACACATCCATGCTAGTGGATGTGGCAGCTGTTTTGTATGTGTGTGTGCTGGTACTGGGGTTTGAACTTGGAACCTTGTACTCTCACCCTTTTCCATTCAAGGCTGACCACTAAGCCACGGTTCCATTTCAGGTTTGTTTGCCTGGGTTGGCTTTGAACTGGGATCTTCAGATCTTAGCCTCCTAAGTAGCTAGAATTACAAGTGTGAGCCACCTATATTTGGCTGCAGAGCCCCGCTCTTTCCTGAATGCAAAGGCTCTTCAGGGTCCCCAGGATCCTTTGATGTTGCAGACATTGTCCTTCCAATTACTTCATAAGTTCACATTTGTTTCTGAGTACAACAGGTCCCCCAACCTTAGAAAGTAGGTGGCGGGGGAGGGTGGATGAATGCAGAGCAATGAGTGATGGCAGGTCCAATGCAGTCTTCTGTACCAAGAGGATTTGGTGGACTTCAGCAGAACTAGGCAAGCTGATTGGACAGCAGCAACTGCTACGAAGGTGGACTGTCGGGCACTTGAGAGTTAATGTTGGTTGAGATGTTGGTAGAAACTGAGGCAGTCACAGACAAACACAGTACAGAGCTGGGAGGTACTGGTGGGGCCCTCCAATCCCTGATTTTGTCTTTTTTTTTTTCCTACCAGATTGAAATGTCACAACAAGTGTACAAAGGAAGCACCGGCCTGTAGAATATCCTTTCTTCCACGTGAGTGCTGCCCACCTGTCCTCCACCTCCCGGGATCTGGGCCCATTTCACTTAGTTCCTGCTAACGCCCGCCCCCTCCCACTTCTAAAACAGTAGCAAGGCTCCGGAGGACAGAATCTGTCCCCTCAGATATCAACAATCCAGTGGATAGAGCGGCTGAACCCCACTTTGGAACCCTCCCCAAGGCACTGACAAAGAAGGTAAGCCGGTAGTACCCCCTGGTCTGTGCTTCTGTCCAGAACAGCCACCTATATTTCCCGGGGATCTCTTCCTGCTGAACCTTCTCCTGGGGTCCGGCAGGGATGCAGGACCAGTGTGGCATGCTCACACCGTGACCCTGTGGCCTCGGGACCCTGCCTGAGCCTTGTCGTAGGAATCCTGTTTCTCCCAGACTGTATGTAGGCAACTATGGTTCTCTGAGCCAACATTGCTTGGGTGCTTGTGATGTGCTAGAATCTTCCATCAGTGTTTTCATTGAACCTGCACATAATGTTAGTATCCCCACCCCTTGTACCCACAGGGGGACGGAGGCTGGGTCCCAGCTCCTACTTGCTATGCCCCCATGTGATGGGACGGGCCTACAAGCTCCCTTGGCCTCCTTTACAGAGGTGCTCAGTCCATTCCTGAGGCCCCACCCACATGACCCAAGCACCTCCTCAAAGTCCCCTTCTTAATGCCAGCCAAGGAGGGTCAGAATTTCAAATGCACATTTTAGGGGAACACAAGCATTCAGATTCTAGCAGATCCTCAGCCCTGGGCAAATTGTGAACTATCCCCTTTGCCGCCTCTGTGTCCTCAAGTGAGCTGCTTGACCTTCTGTGCCTCAGCCTCCTCTTGTGTGAGGTGGAGGTAACAGTTCTAAGGCAATGAGTTTACTCATTACCCTTCCATCACCATCGCCTCTTCAGCCTGTCGCAGACAGGTGAAATTCCTCAGGACTGCCAACACCTCCCAGGCCCAGCACCTTCGTTACCAGCCTTTGCTCCTGTCCAGTCATCCCTCGGTACCAACTGGTCCTCGTGTGCTCACCCCACAGCCTGGCATGTTTGCTCCTCGTCTCTACCCACCTGGACCCACTGTTGAGCCGTTCTGCCCACATCTACTTGGCCCTTGGCCATCTCAGTCTGGAGATGCCAGGGGTCTCCTGGCACCAAAGGCAGCTACCTAGCATTATCATCCCAGTGTCAGTTTTGTGTTTTAACTGGGATCTGAGTCCTCAGTACTTTGGGGACTAGGCCTATGAGGACCCCATACATCTTCCTCCTCATGGGCTCCCTGTTCGTCGTACAATGCCTGGTGTATAGTAGATGCTGTAAACACTTGTGTGATGGTGAATCCATTAACTCATTGAATAAACCTTCCAGTGTCTAGCCCCAAAGCAAGCGGGTATTGCATGGGAGAGCCAGTCCTCAGCAAACCACTCAAGGAGTCTAGTTGACAGCCGTGGTCTGAGAAAGACCTGCCGGGAGCTGGGGGAGGATAAAGAGGAGGAGCATGGTCCCAGTAGAGGGATTCAGGAAGGGCTTGCCCTGGGAGGGAAGTATGAACTGAAAAAAGGTGGACAGATGTGCTGTAGGGGCGGGGCTTTAAGTCCCACCTCCCTCACACGTTAGGTCTGGAGGATTGAGAGCTGAGGGCAGGCCCCTGAGGACCCCTAGGCTGACCTTGTCCTTGTCTGAGGGCCTCGGAGGGTCCCAGCTGGTCCCACCTCGACTGCTCTGGTCCTACAGGAGCATCCTCCAGCCATGAATCACCTGGACTCCAGCAGCAACCCATCCTCCACCACGTCCTCCACACCTTCTTCGCCAGCGCCCTTCCCGACCTCGTCGAACCCATCCAGTGCCACCACTCCCCCCAACCCCTCACCTGGCCAACGGGACAGCAGGTTCAACTTCCCAGGTACCCCACTTCCGGGCTTTTCTGATTCTCAGATCTCTTAACTCCCAGCTGGCCCAGCAGATTCAGAGTGAGATGCCGCTGCTATACTGAGCGCTGAGGTGTATGAAGCACAGTAGGAGGCTGCTGCTGTTGTACACATTTTGTAGATGGGGACACTGAGGTTCAGCGTGAGGAAGTAACTTGCCATGAGTTGTTCAGCTTGTAGCACACAGAGCCAGGACTGAACCCAAGTCCATCTGACCCAGAGCCCAGGTTTTTGGCATGATCCTCATGCTGCTCTCCTGTGGCTTCTTCTGAGCGCAGTCACTCAGAGCTGGATTCCGATTAGGGAGAGGACATGCAGGTTCTGCTACCTCCCCACTCATTGGGCCAGCTACTCAAAGGAAACTTCTCATAGCTGTCTGTTAAACAAGGAAACTATATGAAGCTGGAATGAGATGTGCCCACTGTACAATTGAGGGCAGTGTGCTGGCAGAGCATGCCTGATCCAGAGCAACCTACAACACCAAGAACAGGCTGCCCTGGGGTCTGCAGGCCACGGCCAAGATCTTGGCCTCTTCTGTCCTCAGCTTTCACCTGGCTCATCCTCTCCAGGTAATGGAGGCAAGCTCACAAGCTTAGGCAGGACTAAGCTGATGACCTGGCCTCCTGGCAGCTCCTTGCTGTCTATCTCAGCCTTGCTTTACTTAGGTGTACAGTCCTAGATGGGGAGGGAAGGGATGGTTATGACACCCATTTGCTATGGGCTTAGCACAGGCCCTCTGCCCTCTGCTACCTGTGAGCTCCAGGTTGGTACCCATCACTGGCTCTGAGCCAGAGAGGACAGAGGGAAGGCTGTCCCTGTGCTGTGGACATGCAGCCACCGGCAGGCTAGGCAGCCTCAGGGCCCATCTCTCCCAGGTCCCAGGGGACTTGTTTTGAGGTGGTGACAGCTTGGGGCTTTGTGGGACTGCTTGTCTTTTTTGCTTGCTCTTTGGTCTTGAGGTGCACGTGGTTGATCTCCTGACATGAACTAACGCCTTAAGCACACCCACGCTCCCCCTCCTCTTGAGTGATGGCCCATTTGATTAACCTCCTATTCTGTGCTGTCATTCTTCTGGGAACCTGGCCCTTTACTATACCATCTAGTCTGGGCCTTTTAAAAGGAAGGCTTGTTTGAAAAACAACAGTTAGAGAAAAAGTCCTTTTTACTGATGTCCCAAGAGAGAACTTGGCCCTCATTGACCCCGCTACCAAGGCCTCTCTCTCCACAGTCTCAGGGAGCCATCATGCAAGCCCCTCTGGGGCATTAGACATGATCTTCAAGAGCAAACTAGGAGAGCAGTTATACACCCCCATTTTCAGTGAGGCACCTGGAGAGGTTAACTATCTTGCCAAGAGCCTAGAGCCTTGCCAGTGGTGAATTGAAGTTAGAACGTTCAGGGTCAGGTGGGCATGGTGGTGAGTGCCTGAAGTCTCAGCTACTCAAGAGGATGAGTTAGGAGTTGCTTGTGCCCATGCATTTGAGACCAGCCTAGGCAACATATAGTAGGCTCTTCTCAAAACCACTCTGTCACACAATAGACAGGATGGTTTTGTGTGTGCAGGAAATGGGTAGATGAGATGGAGGTACTCTGGGGCTCAGGTGGACTAAAGGGGAGGAGGCTGTTATACACACACTGTTAAGCCTTTTTTAAAAAATTATTTAAGTAATTGTACAAAGGGGTTTCAATTCAGTAAATCAGTTTATAAGTACAGTGCAGGGGCTGGGAAGGTGGCTCAGTGGTAGAGCGCTTGCCTTGCATGCCTGAGGCCCTGGGTTCGATTCCTCAGCACCACATAAGCAAAAAGAAAAAAACCGGAAGTGGTGCTGTGGCTCAAGTGGTAGAGTGCTAGCCTTGAGCTGAAGAGCTGAGGGACAGTGCCCAGGCCCAAAGTTCAGGCCCCATGACTGGACCCCAAAAAAAAATAAAATAAAATGAGTACAGTGCAACCTTTTGTGGTGTGTACCAGTACTGGGGCTTTAACTCAGGACCTAGGTATTGTTCCTAAGCTTTTTTGCTCAAGACTGGCAGTCTGCCCCTTGAGCCACAGCCCCACTTCTGACTTTTTTTTTCTGCTTATTGGAGATAAGATTCTCAGACTTTTTGGCCCAAGCTGGCTTCAAACCATGATCCTCAGATCTCAGCCTCTTGAGTAGTTAGGATTAAAGGTATGAGTCACTAGGACCCTTCTTTAGATACAATGCATCATGATAAACTTTTTCAGAAACAATTTTTCTCACTCATTGTATCTTGCTCCCCTGGCTCATGTACATTTCTCAAAATAGAAGTGGCTGGAGCTTTCCCAGAGCCATGCACTGCCCAGGGCTCTACAGCCAGGGGGCTGCTGAGATGGGCCTAGAACGCCCCTTTTCTCAGCTGCCCTTTCGCTCCTGAGCTTCCTGCCAGCACCCATTTTCCACAGCTCTCTTCCTCCTTTTTGCATAGCTCTGTCCTTTCCACACCCACCTGGGGTGGGTCAGGTGGAGCAGGTCCCCTGCCCAGTAACCAAGCCCACCATCCTCCCTTCTCCCTGGCTGCATTCGCATTCTGTGTGTGTGACTCACCTCCTCTTCTGTTTAAAGCTGCCTACTTCATTCATCATAGACAGCAGTTTATATTTCCAGGTGAGTCCTCTGCATGATTCCACTAACTGCCACCTGGGTGCTTGAGTCCACCATGGCTGGGCAAGGGAGTAGGGCAGGGGCCTGCCTGGAGGTGGGCCCCCAGGTGGGTAGTGTCTTGCTGGGAGGGGACCATGGAAAACTGTCTAGCCTTTTGCATAGAGACTAGGTCACACTGCCAGGAGATGGCAGAAACAGGACTAGAGCCTGCTTTGCAGAATGAGGGGAGAGGACTCTATGCTGACATGAGCATCTGTCACAGTGTCCTCTCTACATAAGGACAACTGGAAAAGTCTGACAGGCTGCATCTGTCAGCAGGCTTTGCCTTTATGAGCCTTCCTGCACAGTACCACCTGCTGGCCATCGCTGGCACTGTCTCCTTATTGCAGAAAGTTTTATAAACTTTCAATAGACAACTTCAAATTTCCTTCCCACAAAAATCTTTTTTCCCCCGCCTTTGTATTTGGTCAACATTTGTGTCAACTTTTGATTCTGACTATATTCTTTCCCCCAAGGAGTTTATAAGATCAGTGCTTTTTTCCTCTGGCAGGAAGTAACAAGCATGACTGGTCTATGTGTTTTAGACAGATCATAGCTATTGTCCAGCCCCTCCCTCTCCCCCCCTCCCCCTGCTCTGGTTTGTACTGTCTTGAAGTCACAGTGTTTGGTTATTCCTGGCTTTTCTGTTTCCCAATTCTGGAATTGACTCCTTAAGGAAATTAAGAGAGCTTTTATAGATGTGTGCAGGTCTGCAGTGGCCAGGTACCTGGGATTTGGCCCACATAACTCTGGGAACAACTAAGATGCCTCTGTGGTTCCTATCTGCTTTGCTGTGACTCCCAAGAGCCTACTGGATACTCTCTCTAGTACTTGTACAGGGGAGCGTCTCCCACTACCCCAGTTGGGAAAACATGGCTCTTTCTGAAGATACAGTGAAGAAAGTGGTTCTTTCTTAAATAAACATGAACACTGTTGGGAGAAGAGTGCAGAATATGTTCTGACCATGTAAGGGCTTCCAAGACGTTTTATCTTCCTTCCCTCCTCCTGAATGCCATGTCTTACTGACTCCCACTCCTGTATGCCTTCTATGGAAATTGAGCAATGGAAGTGGATGGAAATGCCAGGCCACCCTGCAGTCAGTGGAGATGACATGATGGTGACTGAGGAGGCCTTAGCTGAGGATCCTAAGGCCTGGGGTTCCCTGAAACCACACAGGATGTCAGACATATGTGTGCCTTGCTCTGATAAGAAGTCCCACAGCTTGTATCAGATTCCCCACAGATCTCTGCCAGGACCCAGAGATGTGTGTTAACTTCTCATCTCATTAACCATCAGACAGAGCCAAGTGGAGGGGGATCTGTTGGCAGAATGGGATAGGGAGACAGAAGAAGGGCTGCTGATAGCCTGAGCTGCTGCTGCTTCCAGTCTCTCTCCTACTGAGGCAGAGAAGGGAGGAGCCTGGGACAGTCCTGGCCAGCCCTGAGCCACCAGTCTCCTAGTAGCACTTCAGCTTCTAACAGGGCCAATGGTTGACCATCTGTTTCTGTGACCCTGGGTCTTTGGCTTGGGTCCTCCACGGCCACCTGTCCTGGGATCCTGTAATGTGTGGACTAGGAATTTTATCTTTTCCCCAGAGCTATACCACCAGGCCTCCCCAATCCCAGAAGCTGAGAGGGTGGGTCCTCTGCCTGGATATTCCCAGCAGCTGCACCAGGCACCAGGTGTCACTAGAGAGCATGGGAATTGTGTCTTCAGGGAAGGCCCGTCCCTGCGGAGGTGGCTGTGGCCCAGCTGGCTTTTGCCACTTGCTCGAAGAGGGCCATTAGGCCACAGAGCAATGGCAGCAACAGAAGGGTGGAAGCTCAGCCCTGCTTCAGACATGTTTGTGTGCACCAGACTCAAGATTGAGGAGGCCAAATCATGACAGGCTGAGGGACACGTACAAGCTGTTCCAGATGGCAGTGGCCAGCAGAGCTGTGACAGCTACTGGGGGAGAGGAGACTTCCTTGGTGTGCTGGGCTCCAAGCTGGAATTTTTTGGGGGGGGTGCAGAAAAGCAACCTTACACATTGTTTTTGTCATTTGTTTCCTCCAGACATTTCGGCCTTTCCACAATCAGCCCCACTCCCCAGCACAGCTGACACTACTCGGTATGTACCCCAGTGCTGAATTTGAATTCTCTTCTGTGTGGACCTAAATCTCTTCATACCTCCCAATCCTACCCCTAAATCTCTGGCCTTTGGGCTCTGAGTGTTACCCTATACCTGGCACAGCTCTTGCCTTTAATCCTAGCTACTGACAAGGCCAGTCAGTGTGTATGTGTGTGTGTGCTCATTAACTCATGCAGAGTATTTATTACCGTCATAACAGTGCAGTGAACATTTTGTGGAGAAAGCTTGTGATCCAGTAAGGTGGACACAGGCAGAATTTTTTAAAAATAAATCTGTGACTTTTTTTTTTTGTTATTGTTGTTGTAGGGTTTTAACTCTGGGCCTGGGTGCTGTCCTGGAGCCCTTCAGCTCAAGGCGAGCACTCTACCAATTTAGCCACAGTGCCACCTCTGGTTTTCTGGTGGTTTATTTTTTATTTTTTTTTGGTCCGGTCGTGGGGCCTGAACTCTGGGCCTGGGCGCTGTCCCTCAGCTCTTCAGCTCAAGGCTAGTGCTCTACCACTTGAGCCACAGCACCACTTCTGGCTTTTTTTCTTTTTGCTTATGTGGTGCTGAGGAATCGAACCCAGGGCCTCAGGCATGCAAGGCAAGCACTCTACCACTAAGCCACCTTCCCAGCCCCTCTGGTGGTTTATTGGAGATAACAGTCTAATGGACTTTCCTTCCTGGGCTGGCTTTGAACCATGATCCTCAGATCTCAGCCTCCTGAGTAGCTAGGATTACAGGCATGAGCCACTGGTGCCTGGCTTGTAAGATTCTTTTTTTTTTTTTTTTTTTTGGTCCGGTCATGGGGCCTGAACTCTGGGCCTGGGCACTGTCCCTCAGCTCTTCAGCTCAAGGCTAGTGCTCTACGACTTGAGCCACAGCGCCACTTCCGGCTTTTTTCTTTGTGCTTATGTGGTGCTGAGGAATCGAACCCAGGGCCTTGAGCATGCAAGGCAAGCGCTCTACCACTGAGCCACCTTCCCAGCCCATGTAAGATTCTTATCTCCAGTTAACCAGCAAAAAGCCAAAAGTGGAGTTGTGGCTCAAATGATAGAATGCTAGCTTTGAGCAAAAAACGTTAAAGGCCCTGGGCTGAGAAGGTGGCTCAGTGGTAGAGTGCCTGCCTTGCATGCATGAGGCCCTGGGTTTGATTCCTCAACACCATATAAGCAGAAAAAGCCGGAAATGGTGGTATGGCTCAAGTGGTAGAGCGCTAGCCTTGAGCTGACAGCACCCAAGCCCAGAGTTGAGGTCCCATGACTGACAAAAAAAAAAAGTTAAAGGTCCTGAGTTCAAGCAAGCCCCCATACCAGCAAACAATAATAATAACAATAACAGTAAAAAGAGCCCTATTTGGGGAGCCTGTTCTCCAAATCAGGCTGGGCTAAGCTTTCATGCTGCAGGTCTCACAGGACAACAGGAGGTATCATCTCTAGTGGACTTTCTGGCTCAGTGAGGTTAAGTAACACAAGGTCACTCAGGGAAGAAGTGACAAAGCCAATCTCAAAGCCAAGGCTGTCTGATCCCAAGTCCCATGTGCTCCGAATCCCATAGTGAAGTGTCAGATTTGAAAGGGACCCTGATAGTTACTGCCTTCCCTCACCCCCCATTCTGTCTGTAGTCAGCCTAGAGGGACAGCCAAGGCAGGATGAAGGGGCAGGCCTGGTCCTCAGCCTCCTGCCTGTGACCACAATGTCCACACTGCCATGCCCACAGCCAAGTGTGTCATGATAAAGATCTAGAAGTGGCCTTGAGTCTCAGACCTCACTGGGTGAGTCCCTTGCCCAGCCCATGGTCCCCTTGACAAAGCCTGTTTTATTCCTAGGCTCGAGGAGCCACCCAAAGCAGATGTATCAGAGGTACATGAAGTGGAGGTGAGTGCAGGTGGCATGTGCATCCACGGGAAGCCTCCTCCCCCCTCAGGATGGGTTGGTGTGGGCAGTCAGCCTGAGTGTTCCCAGGTGCTTACTGCAGCAGAGGTTGGCAGATGGGGACAGCAGGGAGGAATGAAGACTGACTGAAGTAAGCACTTCTCTCTGCCTGGGGACCAGGGTCTTGGCCTGGGGACTGGTTCAGTCAGCTTCTGATGAAGTCAGACATCTCTGTATTGTCAGAGCTTGCCAGGTGATTCTGATTGGAACCAGGGTCCAAAACCACTGTCTTGATCCTTGAACAAAGCTGAGAACTGAGTCTGGGTCCCTGCAGTGGAGCGGGAATTCGAGAACATGGCTCTTGCCAAGGGAAGAGGCAGAAACTGTGTTTAAATAGGAGAATACCACAGGGATGAATACAGTTCAGTTCTCCCACAACTAGGATGTTAATGCTGTTTCCTAAGCAATTAACTATTGCTCTTCAGCCCATCTTACATCTTGCAGTGTTAGCAAGATACAGGGCCTCAGTGTCGCACATTTTATGAACAAAGACACTTGAGGTCCAGGGATGCTGGGTGACCAGCCTGCTGTCCACAGAAAGCCAGTGCAGCGCTGCAGATAGCCCAGGGTCATATCCTCTCCTCCCTCACCTGGTGAGAGCCATCTGCCCCATTCTCCTTTCAGGCTGAGGAGCCAGAAGGTGGCAAGTCAGAGGCAGAAGATGATGAGGATGAATTAGATGACCTTCCCAGTTCCCGTCGACCCTGGCGGGGTCCCATCTCTCGCAAGGCCAGTCAGACCAGCGTGTACCTGCAGGAGTGGGACATCCCTTTTGAGCAGGTGGAGCTGGGCGAGCCCATTGGGCAGGGCCGCTGGGGCCGAGTGCACCGGGGCCGATGGCACGGCGAGGTGGCCATCCGTCTCTTGGAGATGGATGGCCACAACCAGGATCACCTGAAGCTGTTCAAGAAGGAGGTGATGAACTACCGGCAGACACGGCATGAGAACGTGGTACTCTTCATGGGTGCCTGCATGAACCCACCCCAACTGGCCATCATCACCAGGTAAGCTGCCCATCCCTGGCTGGACATGGGTGGGGGGTGGGCAGCTAGCCTTCTCCTCCCTGAGAGCCCTGGAGCCACTCTGGAAGGAAGTAAAGGATTTTAGAGAGAGATACAAAGAAGCAAACAAAAAATGGAATACAGTTTCCCCCACTCACAACCTCACTGACACTGAAAAACAAATAAAGCCAGGGATAGGATTGCACATCTGTAATCCCAGCTTTTTGAAGGCTGGTTCTCATTCTCTGAGACTCCAAGACTCTAGAGACTTTTCCTAAAAAGTCCTCCTTCCTGGGTGACATTGTCCACAAAAGAAATGCACTCCTTACCTGACTTATATAACTGTAACCCCTCTGTACATCACCTTTATGGTAACAATTTAAAAAAAGGAAAAAGCTGGGCCCTGCTGGCTTACGCCTGTAATCCTAGCTACTCAAGAGGCTGAGATCTGAGGATCGTGGTTCAAAGCCAGCCCAGGCAGAAAAGTCTGTGAGACTCATCTCCAACTAACCACCAGAAAATCAGAAGTGTGGCACTGTGGCCCAAAGTGGTAGAACACACTAGCATTGAGCAAAAGAGCTTACGGATAGCATTCAAGGCCTTGAGTTCAAGCCCCAAGACCCAAATGTGTAAAAAGTCCTTCTTCCCTAGGTTACTGACAGCTTTTACAAAAAATGGTTCTTCATTCTGGCTTTCAGATGTGGTGCTAGTGAACACCCCAGAGCATAAGCTCCTTTCTCATCATCATGCTTACACTTTTTTTTTTTTTTTTTTGGGGGGGGGTCAGGTCATGGGGCCTGAACTCTGGGCCTGGGCGCTGTCCCTTAGCTCTTCAGCAAGGCTTTGAGCCACAGCGCCACTTCCGGCTTTTTTCTTTTTGCTTATGTGGTGCTGAGGAATCGAACCCAGGGCCTCAGGCATGCAAGGCAAGCGTTCTACCACTGAGCCACCTTCCCAGCCCCTCACGCTTACACTCTGACAGCCACCCTGTTGCCTTTTCCCTTCTCGATGGCAGGACAGGCCTGGGGAACAAGTGCGTGCGTGCATGCGTGTGTGTGTGTGTGTGTGTGTGTGTGTGTGTGCGTGCGTGCGTGCCTGCGTGCGTGCATGTGTCTAATCATTGGGCCAAGTCCCAGCTAGAATCAGTGTTGGGCTTGTTTAAAGAACACATATTCTAGTCAAGCTGGTGGTGCATGCCTATAATCTCAGCTACTTGGGATATGGAGATCAGAAGGATCTGGGTTGGAAGCTAGGCTGAGTAAAATTTAAGTGAGACCTCATCTGAGTCAAAAGCCAGGCATAGTTGTGTAGCTCCTAGCTATGGGGAAGTATAGATAGGCAGATTGTGGTCTAGGCAGCACTCCTCTCCCTCAGAAAAAAAATCTTAAGACCTTATCTAAAAAAAAAAATAACTAAAGCAAGACCTAGAGGTGTAGCTCAAATAGTAGAGTGCTTGCCTGGCTTGTGCAAGGTCTTGGGTTCAAACCCCAGCCACCTACCCCCCTTCCCCCAAATACACACATTCTTTGGCTCATGTAAAGGATAGAAAGTCCTCAAAAAGCAGCAAGCACAGCCAGGTACCAGTGGCTCATGCCTGTAATCCTAGCTACTCAGGAGGCTGAGATTTGAGGATCACAGTTCAAAGCCAACCCAGATAAGAAAGTCCATAAGACTCTTACCTCCAGTTAATCACCCCAAAAAACAAAAATGGAGCTGTGGCTCAAAGTGAGCACAAATACTCAAGGATAGTACTTAGGCCCATTCAAGCCCCAGAACAACACACACACACACACACACACACACACACACACACACACACACACACACACACACACACACACACACACACACACACACACACACACACACACACACACACACACACACACACACACACACACACACACACACACACACACACACCAGCAGGCACAACTTCCTTATTGGCTCCACAGGAGTGAGGTCAGGTTGCACCTGCCCCAGACCTCTTGACTATACCCCACCACTCTCTGCAGCTTCTGCAAGGGGAGGACCTTACACTCCTTTGTAAGGGACCCCAAGACTTCTCTGGACATAAACAAGACAAGGCAGATCGCTCAGGAGATCATTAAGGTAAGAGCACATCCAGCAGGAGGGTGGTTTCCTTCCTGCTCATCCCAGGGTCCTTGCCTCCTCCTCCTGACACATCATTCCCTGTCATCTTGGCTTTGCACTGTTCTGTCTCTCCTAGCTGGGTTCCTCAGGGTGGGACCCTGTCTCCTCCCCTCTGAGTCTCTCCTGTCCACTGGGTCAGCATTAATAAAACTGAATTTGTTGAAGAAGAGCTCAGCAAGCTCTAAAGACAGTCTGATGCCTGGTCACACAAGCTGTGAGACCTTGGACAGGTTGTTTTAGCCTCTCTGGGAAATGGAGATAGTGTTAGAACCTCCCTGACTGGATCAGTGCATAGACAAAATGCAGTTATCATCGGAGCATTTGGCACTGTCCTGTGAGGAATTGCTATAATCCATGGTGGGAAATGGGAAGCTGTTTACTTCTGGGGCCCAGAAGACCCCACTTGCTACCTTCAAGTTTCCAAAGCCAAGTTACTTGAAGGCAAGTCCTTGGGTGCAGGAACTCAGGCAGCTTCTCTATCATCCTTTTAAAAAGCAATTAAAAAAGAGTGAAATAAAAACTTATGTATTGCTTTAAAACAACAAACAGACCCAAGTAAAAACTAGGACCTGGGAAATGGTTCTGTGGCTCAAGTGGTAGAGCGTTAGCCTTAGCAAAAAAGTACAAGGACCTAAAAGTCTTATTCCTGAAAACGGACACTCTACCAGGCCATATCTGCTATATCCCACAGGATATGTGCTGTGGTATTCATTGAAGTAGAACATTCCAATTCTATCAATGGCATCTTGATCCTAATTCGCTTCTCTTCTTGGGAATTTCCTTGTTCTCATCCTTTTGCCCTTCTTTGAGAACTGCTCTACTTTTTTAGATATATGTTTTGTTTTGGTTTTTTGGGGGGGGTATAGGAGGAAGGTCTGTCCTGGGGCTTAAACTCCAGGCCTAGGCGATATCCCTCAGCTCTTCAGCTCAAGGTGAGCACCCTACCACTTGAGCCACAGCACCATGTCCAGTTTTCTGGTGGTTTATTGGAGATAATAGTCTCACGGAGGGCTGGAAAGGTGGCTCAGTGGTAGAGTACTTGCCTTGTATTCATGAGGCCCTGGGTTCGATTCCTTAGTACCACATAAGCAGAAAAAGCCAGAAGTGGCACTGTGGCTCAAGTGGTAGAACACTAGCCTTGAGCTGAAGAGCTGAGGGACAGCGCCCAGGCCCAGAGTTCAGGCTCCAGGACCAAGTTAAAAAAAAAAAAGAGTCATGGACTTTCTGGACCAGGCTGGCTTTGAACCGTTATCCTCAAATCTCAGCCTCCTTAATAGCTAGGATTACAGGTGTGAGCCACTAGCACCTGGCCTGGATATATTCTTTAAGTTACCTAGCTCTCTTTCTTTTTTTTTTGTCAGTCGTGGGGCTTGACTCTGGGCGCTGTCCCTAAGCTCTTTAGCTCAAGGTGAGTGCTCTATCACTTTGTGCCACAGTGCCACTTCTGGTTTTCTGGTTTATTGAAATAAGAGTCTCATGGACAAAGCCTGCCTGGGCTGGCTTTGAACTGTGATCCTCAGGTCTCAGCCCCCTACTCAGGGGGCTCCTTTCTTATATCTTGTTACTCTGCTTATACCAGTCCACTAAATTCTTGATCAAACCTGATTCCATGTGCTCCTTTCATTTTTGATTAAGATCCTAGTTCACATATTGCTTCAATTGTTATGGTTTCTTGAGTTGTAGTGCTAGTCAGCCCAAATAATAATTTCATTAATAAACTATTTCTTAATTTAAAAAAAAAAAGTTCAGGGACAGTACCCAGGCCCTAAGTTCAAGCCCTAGGACTTGAGCGCACACACACACACACAAACACACACACACACACACACGAACTTTGTGAGTAGGAGTTCCTCTTCCTTTACTTCTTTTTACTTGCTTGTATTAAAAAGCCATCTACTACCAACTTCCCCACAATTTTTTCCACTATTGTCCCTTTCCTTCCTTTTCTCCTCCCCGCTGCTCTTCCTTCCTCCTTTCTCTTTCTTCTTCCTTCCCTTCCTTCCACTGTCTGCTTTGTGTATGTATTGTCTTTAGGAAGGAATAGTACCAGGCACTGGTGACTCATGCCTATAATCCAAAGTATCTAGAAGGCTGCCACTGAGTCAGGATGTGGTGGTTTGTGCCTCTTCTCCCAGCAGGGGGGTGAGGTGCACAGGGACTAGGTGCGAGGCATGCCTGTCATCCTAGCTTCGTAGGAAGCCTAACAAAGGTGATTGTGCCCTGGGCAATAAGTGAAACCCTATCTCAAAAATAACCAACACAAATCAGGGCTGGAGGCCTGGTTCAGCAAACCCAAGGACAATTCAAACACGTCTTGTCTTCCCCTCTCCTTCCCCCCAAAAAAGGGAAAAGATAATCATAATGACATCTGTGTACAAACTAGGATTTCCTTGTGATGGTTCCCTGTGGCTAAGCTGATGACTTAAACCAATGAGGATCAAAGCCAAGGATACCCCCCTCCTGTCTTCCCTCTGGTCTGTCACTTTTCAGGATGGCCAGTAGGAGCTACAGATAGAATGATTTTGATTTTTCACAGCAAACTTGGAAGTCCTCACTCCCTGTGTCTGCCCACTGAGTCATGTTGACTATCCATCTGGCTGATGGCAGGGCCTAGGAGGAACATGACTGAGGGATTTCTGCCAGGCCAGAAGCCACCTCTCTGCTGGCTTATCTTTCCTGCCAACAACCCCAGCCAGTATGGCTGATCTTTATATACTTCTGGATCTCCCGGCTCCACTAGTCATCTGGCCACACATCCTGCCTTATCTAAGGTGACTGTGACTAGATAGTGGCCTGGAAAGAGCTAAGCTGGGCTACAAACTGCTGTGTGGCTTGGGCCGGTGACTTTCTCTTCCTAGTCTCCTTGCCCCCTCTGTAAAGGGGTTTATGTGTTTATAAGATCGTGAGGATGAAATGAGGCTGGTGCCTGACCAAGAAAGAAACTCGGTCGCCACCACTCATGTTTACCCTGCCCTGATGCGAGACTCCCATCTTCCAGGGCATGGGCTATCTTCACGCCAAGGGCATCGTGCACAAAGACCTTAAGTCTAAGAACGTCTTCTATGACAATGGCAAGGTGGTCATCACAGACTTCGGGCTGTTTGGGATCTCGGGTGTGTTCCGAGAGGAGCGGTGAGTTGGTCTTGGGTATATGGATGGGACAGGAGGAGTGGGTGGGCCCAGGCTCAGGGCCCTGTAGCTGTGCCACTGAGGAGTGGCACACCCTGTAAGGAAGGACCCATAGATTCCATCCTAGTGGTTCTGGTCTAGAATCCAGCCTTGGGAGAGGTTCAGGTCCTTTGTGGCTCTTGATTCTCACACTGATCCTCATGGGGTCTATGACTTATCTAACCTGGCTGCTTCATCAATTTAGGTGGGGGCCCAGGGTCACTTCCCTATATCAAAAAGAATGCTCAATTTCATGTGATGCTGGGTGTCAGTGGCTCACGCCTGTAATCCTAGCTACTCAGGAGTCTAAGATCTGAGGATCTCGGTTCAAAGCCAGCCCAGGCAGGAAAAGTCTATGAGACTCTTATCTCCAATAAACCACCAGGAAACGGGAAGTGGCGCTGTGGCTCAAGTGGTAGAGTGCTAGCCTTGAGCTGAAGAGCTGAGAGACAGTACCCAGGCCCTGAGTTCAAGCCTCACGACCAACAACAACAACAACAAAAAGCCGGTGTTAGTGGCTCATGCCTGTAATCCTAGATACTCAGGGGGCTGAGATCTATGGATCATGGTTCAAAGCCAACCTGGGCGAGACTCTTATCTCCAATAAACCACTAGAAAACTGGAAATGGTGCTGTGGCTCAAGCAGTAGAGGGCTTGCCTTGAGATAAAGAGCATAGAGACAGTGCTCAGGACCAGAGTTCAAGCCCCACGACTGACACCAAAAGAAAAAAAAAAAATCATGTGATATTGAAGGGACTGGAGAGATGAGGAAGCCCTAGAAGAGTGTCAGCCGGGGCAGGAAGCTACCAGACCAGTTTGAATAAGGGCTCAGCTCCTGGGTAGCTCCCTGCCTACCATCCTCAGACTTCCTTCCTAGCTGAGCTCCCTGCTGTTTTCTGAGATGGTTTGCCAAAGTGGAAGTGCCCATCAGATCAACGTGATACACTTGGTCACTTGCTCTGCACTATATGGGGATAATTTTGCTGGCCAAACGGTGGGTGTATGCCTGGCAGTCCTCTGTTGCATGCTGAAAGCCTGTTCTGGTCCTGGCCTCCAGGCGAGAGAATCAACTGAAGCTGTCCCATGACTGGCTGTGCTACCTGGCCCCTGAGATCGTGCGGGAGATGACCCCTGGGAAAGATGAGGACCAACTGCCATTTTCCAAAGCTGCTGATGTCTATGCATTTGGGTGAGTAGGTACTCAGAGACCAAAGTGTAGCCCAGAGAGATCCCCTGGTGATTGTTGGGGCAGGGAGCCTGGCCTTTGGAATGGAAACAAACCTGGTTCTGAACTGTGATTCTGCTGCTTGTTGGCTAAGTGACCATGTCCTGACTCTCTGCCTCCCAGCAGAGGGCTCTCTTCCATGAGGAGAACATTAGCACCTCCTACAGGGTGGTTACACAGGCCTTGGACCTTAACTAACTGGGTCTCCACAGGACTGTTTGGTATGAGCTACAAGCAAGGGACTGGCCCTTTAAACACCAACCTGCAGAGGCCTTAATCTGGCAGATCGGGAGCGGAGAAGGAGTGAAGCGTATCCTGGCCTCTGTCAGCCTGGGGAAGGAAGTCAGCGTGAGTAACCACCTGCTCTGGGGTTGGGAAGAACTATTGGACAATGGACTGGGGCCTGTGACCCAGCTGTCTGGGAAAGGACCCCCAAGAGTCTGTACTACTTGAAGAGATCAAAAGCATACTCCTGAGCTGGGAATGTGGCTTAGTAGTAGAATGCTTGCCTAGCATTCATGAAGCCCTGAGTTGATTCCTCAGTACCACAGAAACAGAAAAATCCAGAAGTGGCACAGTGGCTCAAGTGGTAGAGCACTAGCCTTGAGTACAGAGAGGCTGAGGGTCAGAGCCCAGGCCTTGAGTTTAAACCCCAGGGCTGGCAAGAAAAAAAAAAAAATACTGCTGGGCACTGGTGGCTCAATCATGTAATCCTAGTTACACTGGAGGCTGAGATGTGGAAGATCATGATTTGAAGCCAGTCCAGACAGAAAAGTCCATGAGACTTCATCTCCAAAATAATCACCAAAAGGCTGGCTGAAGGCATAGTTCAGATAGTAGAGCACCAGCCAAGCAAGCCAAGTGAGTGCAAGGCTCTGAATTCAAACACCAGTATTGGCAAACAAACAAACATAGTTACTGAAATTGGAGAAGCATAAAGAAGAAAATGAAAACTGTCCACTGTCACCTCATAGTCAACTCTTGTTTGAATTTCCTTCTAGTCTTTTTTTTTGTTGTTGTTAGTCGTTGGGCCTGAACTCTGGGCCTGGGCGCTGTCCCTCAGGCTCTTCAGCTCAAGGCTAGCACTCTACCACTTGAGCCACAGCGCCACTTCTACCTTTTTCTGCTTGTGCAGTGCTGAGGAATCAAACCCAGGGCCTCATGCTTGCCAGGCAAGCACTCTACCACTGAGCCACCTTCCCAGCCCCTCCTTCTAGTCTTTAAGATTGACTTCTAGGATAAAAAAGAGTAATGCCTTAAGTATTACTTACATAAAAGTTTATAGTTTAGCCAGGTGCTGATGGCTCACACCTGTAATGTTAGCCATTCAGGAGGCTTAGCGCTAAGGATCACGGTTCAATGCCAGCCCAAGTAGAAAAGTCCGTGAGACTCTTACTCCAATAAAACACCAGAAAACCGGCAGTGGAGCTGTAGCTCGAGTGGTAGAGTGCTCGCCTTGAGCTGAAGAGCTGAGGGACAGCGCCCAGGTCTTTCTCAGTGAACTTCCACATCTTTTTTTTTTTTCTTTTTGGTCATGGGGCTTGAACTCTGGGCCTGGGCTCTTCAGCTCTTCAGCTCAAAGCTAGAACTCTAGCACTTGAGCCACAGCACCAATTCTGGTTTTCTGGTGGTTTATAGAGTTTCATGGACTTTCCTGCCCAGGCTGGCTTTGAACTGTGATCCTCAGATCTCATCCTCTTGAGTAGCTAGGATTATAGGTGTGAGCCACCAGTGCCCAACAAACTTTCACATCTTTTACTGTCTTTTATGTCTTCTGTCCTTAACTACCAGATCTAACGCCTGGGGAATTTTCCTGATTTTTGTCTTCAAACATGTCTCATATCTTGGTTTGGAAATTATATTTGCATTGTCAAGCCCTCCTTCCTTCGTGTGTGTGTGTGTGTGTGTGTGTGTGTGTGTGTGTGTGTGTGTGTGTGTGTGTGTTTGCCATCACTGGTGCTTGAATTGAACTAAGTTATTTGAGTTACAGCTATGTGAGCCACCAGCACCTGGCTTACTTTTTTTTGTTTGTTTGTTTTTTGTTGGTTGAAAATGGGGCTTAAACTCTGGGCTTGGGTGCTGTCCTTGTGCTCTTCAGCTCAAGGCGAGCGCTCTACCGCTTGAGCCAAAGAGCCACTTCCTACTATTGTTTTTTTTTTTTGCCAGTCTTGGGGCTTGAACTCTGGGCCTGGGCATTATCCCTGAATTTCGTTGTGCTCAAGGCTAATGCTCTACCACTTGAGCTGCAGCACCACTTTCAGCTCTTTGTGCATAGTTTATTGGAGGTAAAAGTCCCACAGACTTTCCTATGCAGGTTGGCTTTGAACCATGATCCTCATACTTCAACCTCCCAAGTAGCTAGGATTACAGGTGTGAGCCACTGGCGCCCAGCTGGTGAATTTTTTTTTTTTTAATTGTATCACGGTCTTGTTTTATGATAGAGTAGCTGCTTCACACACCTATGTTATCCAGAGACAAGGCTTTGGTCTGCTCACCTTTGGTCTCATCTGGTTTGCCTATTACAACAGGCAAGCCCATGCCATCCAGTTGTATTTAACAACGAAAACCTCTGGTGCTCCTCTCAGTGGGCTGGTGCTTTGGACTGATCCTATGCCCAGGCCTGACTCACACTCAGGTGGTTGTTCTGCATGGCAGGACCCCAGAGTGCCCTGCACACGCCCATGGATCCTGAGAATAGACAGCAGATTGCCACCGTGAGTCTTGGGAGTGGTCGGGACAGCTGTTCTGGGCTCAGCTGCTGCCTCCATATCTAGTCCTCCCTTCAGCCTCCATTTCTGACAACACTGAGGCTCCTCCACTCCACAGTAGCCCCAACTCCACATCTTCTGAGCACCTAGCAATTCACCAGTAAAAACTGTGCCTTCAAAAACCATCCAGGGCTGTGAATGTGGCTTGGTGGTAGAGTGTGCCTGACGCCCCAGGTTCGATTTCTCACTACCACATCAACAGAAACAAATGTAAGTGGCACTGTGGCTCAACTGATAGAGCAACTGCCTTGAGTTAAAGGAGCTCAGAGATAGTGCTCAGGGCCTGAGTTCAAGTCCCAGGATTAGCCAAAAAAAAAAAGCCAAAAAAATTTGTTGGGACCAAAAACCATCTATCCTCTTTTCTGATCTCTTTCTGTTCAAGTTGGTTGCTGTTATTGGGGAGGAAGGTCTAGGGAAAAGAGTGGATAAACTAACGCAGTTCATCCCTGGAAGCCTGGGAGTTCTTATGGGATAATTACTTCTCAGCATTTTGTGTCCACCGGGAGGTCACCAGCTCGGGCCCTTGAGGATGGTCAAGGGACCCTTTGTGAGTCCCCCAGCACACACACCACTGATGGCAGCTCCATTTTCAGGAGATCCTGTCCGCCTGCTGGGCTTTTGACCTTCAGGAGAGACCCAGCTTCAGCCTACTGATGGACATGCTGGAGAAGCTGCCCAAGCTAAACCGGCGGCTCTCCCACCCCGGGCACTTCTGGAAGTCAGCTGAGTAAGTACCCTTTAGTGAACCAGACATGCCGTCTAGGCTCTGAGGTCTTAAAGGACATCCTCTGTTATGTCCATGCCAGAGTTTGATCTGAGGAGTACAGAGGAATGCCAAGGTTCCATTGGCCCAATGGGTGGACGACTCCCCATGGCAGGCATGCACCTCCAGTTTGCTCTGTGAACATCTATCACTGTTACCAGACCAGTACAGATTCTGGGCCCAGACTGGGCCACAGCGAGTTAGAGGCCAAAGTCACCTAGATACTGAGAAACCCACACAGCAGGCTATATCAGTACTGCTAAAGAAGGCGCTGACTCAGACAGCCATTGATAACGAAGAGCTAGCCACCTGTTTGAGACCACATCACAACACATGTTGTAGCCTGGATGCCACAGCCCTTCCCTTCTTAATTACAGGTCCCTTTGCACCAAGCAACAGGGCTGTCTCCCCTCTCTTTCTTGTTCCTTTTCTCCTTTGTTTCTCTTGCCACTTCTCCAAGAATACTCTGGACTCAAGGGAAGGGGAAAAAGCCAGATGTCAATGGCTCATGCTCTTAATACTAGCTGCTCAAGAGTAAGATCTGGATGATCATAGTTCAAAATGAGCCCACGCAGAAAAATTCTTGAGAATCATCTCCAATTAACTAACAAAATGCTACACTGGTGGCGTAGTTCAAGTGGTAGAGACTGGCAGGGGGAAAAAAAAAACTTCTTTGAAATGGTCAGATCCTCTTTTAGCTTGTAAAAATATTGGCTTGCATACTTTATCAAGTCCTTTCTCAAAGAGAGGCCCAGCAGGAGTCCCCCAATCGAGATATAAGAATTCACCCAAAAGTACAACCAGTTGTGGGAAATCTGGAGGACCAGGTAGGTAGGTTAGTGAATGCTCTATCTTATGATGCAGTATGAGGTTCAGTATTGGTCAGAGGCTAGCACCGGTTGAGCATCCCTCACCTACAATGCTGTGCATGCCTGCTTACACACCTGAGGATATCCAGATGATGGCTGCACTGGGCCCCTACCAAGAAGGACTTTACAGTTTAGCTGGGATCAGATGAGCAGACCCACTGAAGCAAAGCCTCCACATGGCAAGGCTCTGTCTCATCCTGTCTGTAGCCCAGTGCTGAACACAGTGCCAAGAGTACTTGGCCAATGAATGTGCCAGTGATTAAGACCCGAGGCCCTGTAGGTGTTCTAATGGGGCCTCTCTGTCCACATGGGGGACTGGAGAAAGGTCTCTAGGAGCTGCTGCTCACTGGAGCTGGGTGAACAGGTGACATCCCTGCAGGCAAGGAGCATGGGCTTCTCTGGAAGTGCGGTATCCAGGCCAACTCTGATCTGCTCCTGCAGATCCTGGACCTCTCTGTGCAGCCTGGGCCCTGGCTTTGTTATCCGCACGAGAGAGGGCTCACCAGGTGAATGCTGGCATTAGAGGATGACTCTTACTCTCTGAAAACCAAACAGCCACCGTGTCTGGTCCCAAATAGAAACTGAGTCATAAATGGGACTGTGATGGGCCTGAAGTCACCAGTTCTGGCTCTTTAAGGGAAGGGGGGTAGCACATCAGAATCAGCCTGGGGCCAAACTTCTTGTTCATTTCACTTTTCTGCACACTTGGCTTCTAATTCTCATTTTCTCTTTTCTTTCCCATTGGCCTTTTGGGTGTTTTGTTTATGTTCTCATTTGGGGGATGGAAATGCTCTGTCCTGTCATCTCTCCCTGTCCTACCATCCTGACTCCTCCACCTGCTGCCATCACTCACCTGCTGGGTTGATGGGTTGGACCGAACTCTTCCACTCCTGGTGAAATGGTCACGGGCACTCCCAGTCGCTGGCGGAGCCGCTACTACGGGAAAGGACGTTATAACGGTCACCCTGACTTTAAGAACGCCTGTCCAGTTCTGGAGGAATAGTGTGTTCTGTCATTTCCCTCATGCCCTGCCTGTGTGTGGTTGTGCCATTGCAAACCTGCTTTCTGCTGTGTCTCTGCATCCCAGCTTCTCACAACCGTGGTTTTCTTCCCCTAATCTGATGTGAGGTCCTGCCACCAGACCTGCCACCACAAGGCTTGTGTCTCACAGTGGGTGACAGAGGCCATAGCATGGGGCAGGGTCTCCATCTGCACCACAAGTGGACACATGGCTAGTTTCAGCCGAGAACAGAGTTTGGATCATTGATCCAGTCAGAACTCAGAAGAAGAGAATCAAGGGAGCAGAAGCAGTGCAATCCAAGAAGTCAATTTTGGGGGTCCAGGCTGAGGAGCCATGGGAAGCATGGAGGGCTCTAGAGAAGTGGCCTGTGGCTGTGCCTTGCGGAAACTTGAAAGGTTCCTTATGCCCAGCTCCCTTCCAGGCTGGCTTGCCCTGCTGTCCACCTAGCGGGTAGAAGTGGAGGTGTCCCTTTCTTTGCTGGAAAGAGGACCCCCTGCCTGGTGGCTGTGGCCAGTCCTCTAGTCCCTAGCTCCCTGTGGGCTCTGGTTCTAACCTGTTCTCCCCTCTCTGTCCTCTAGGTTGTAGGCCTGGTTGCCTTGCATGCACCGGGGGCTGTCTTCCTCCTAATCAACAATGGCTCTGCGACTTCTGCTAACACAAAATGCCAAGCAGGCACTAACCCAGGGGATGCCATCTCTGCTGCTCCAATCTTCTCTCTCCAGTCTTCTTGTGCTGTTTGTAACATGGCCCCTCCCTCTCCACGTGTGCCTGCACCGCTGCCGGTGGAGGATCGTATTAACTGGTACCCTGCGAGGTGGAGCAGCCTGTAGCCACCTTCCCAGATGACGCTTTCCCTTCTGAGGGCTGCTCTTGCTTTTGTTTGATGGCCCTGTCACCCCACTAACCCCTTTGAGCCTCCACTGGATGTCCTGGGAGGGAAAGGGTGGCATCTAACTCTGGGATCTTATCCCATAGGGAGTGGAATGGTTCCAGAGCTTCCCTCTCTTGGGTCCTGTCACTGTCTCCTCTGCAGAGCTAGAACAGTAGGCACAAAATGTCCTGTTGCTGTGAAAAACACCAGCTCAAAAGGGCTCTGTCCTTAAGAGCACACTCAGAAAACCTATCCGAAAGTAGAGTGATGTTTGGTTCCAGACAGCCACCAAATTGCTCCCTTCACATCTGCCTGGGGCTCCACAAACTGAATAGATCTCTGCCATTGGGCCCTGGGAATCTTCCCCTCAACCTCCCAGAGGAGCCCATGGTGGAGCAGCATCCCATTTCTAGAAGGAGCAGGTGAGGTCAGCACTGCCGGTGCTGGGGCTCAGGTTTCTCTCCCAGTCTCACATGGAGCAAGTGCGGTCTGGGCAACCAGTGAGGCAGAGGCGATGTGCCATGACCCTGCCCTGCCCCAGGAGGGGGGCACGGCTGAGGCCCAGGACTCGGGGTGACCAGCAGCTCTGCCAAAGCCGCAGGTCAAATGATCATTCCACTGGATGGGACCAGCTCCGCTGCGGAGCTTCTGGAACTAGCCCATTCCTTAGCCTGTGCCACCCTAACTCTGGTCAAGACCAGCTGGGTCATAACCCCTGTTTCTGTTCCTCTCCACAGCATGAACAGCAGTAAAGGGGTCCCCCGCTTTGAAAGGTTCGGCCTGGGTGCCCTGGAGTCCAGTAATGCAAAGATGTAGCCGCTGGGCCCCTTGTGCTGCCCATTCTTTTCTTTTCCTAACTGTGTTTCTAAAACACACAAGCCACCACCATGACAAAAAGTAAAAATACTAAAAGCCACTCCATCTGCCCAGCACTGCAAACCAGGACAGGAGACTCTATTCAGGCTGTTCATTACCAAGACACGTGGGGCCCGGAGACCGAGCCCCGCCTGCTGTTAAAGATGGCCCCACACCAACCAGACCTGTCCCGACCGACAGCAAATGTTTACACGAACGTTTCTGCCGAGCGAACTCAACGTTTTACAATAGGTAATAATAAACAATGTATGCTTATGTGCACTGGCAGTGTGGGATGGCAGAGATGGCCATCCCCATTGGAAGGATCCTGTAGCAGAGCCTAATGCTGCGTTGTGATTGTGGTTTCTTTGGGCTGCAGAGCGGGGGATATGAGGTCTGACCTGGTCTTGCTTTGGCCCTAACTGCCCTGGGTTGGGAATCTCCCTCTGAGAGATTCTCCCTGCATCCTATCAGAGAGACACAGTTCCCTCATCCCCCAGAGGAGACCCTGGCTAGAAACAGCTGGATCACAAAGGGCAGGAGTTCTTGGAGAGCTGGATTCACCTTCAAACCCCTGTAATCCAGACTGCCCTTGCTGGAAAAGTAGAGACAGAATCCTAGTGATGCCTGAGGGTCTGGTGACTCCCACTCAGGGTTTCTACCACAAGGCAGAGAGATAGCCATGCATTTTTAGAGCTCTCTTTCATGAAGCTCCAGGCAGTCGCTAGAGCTGTGGGACTCAGGGCCTCCTCCCAGTGCCTGGCCCAAACAGCACTAGCCTGTAGGTGCACCTGCACTGAGATGAGAACGGGGAAGATGGTACAAAAAGACAGAAGTAGACAGCCAGCAGGTATCTGAGGCCCCCCACCTCCCCCCAGGCTTCTCAGTGACTCTAGCGGACACTTTAGAAACCCATTGTTAGCCATGCTAGAATGTTCCAGAACTACTCACCTCTTCTCATTCACCTTAGCCCACCTCTGCTGCTTTCCCTGAGCTCAGATACAGGCACTCTTTCCTCCAGACCCTCCTAGCAAGCCGCCTCTCTGCACAGCCTCCCGGGCAGTCTCAGGCCTTCTGTCTGTGTCCATGCAAAGCAGCAGGAGGCTAGACTTGAGAGCCAGCTGGGCGTCACGTGACCTCTGCCGCCCCCACTAGAAACTGCCACCCACAGAATAGAGTTCCCAAAGGCAGAGGGCCTCAAGTAGAGATGAAGTTCAGTGGCCTCCACAGCCCGAAAGAAAAAAAAGTAATGGAAGGGGAGTTGTGATTGGAGTCAGGACCACAGGTTTGGGTTTCAAATAAGGGCCCCCCCCACACCCCTTATTTGGGACTATGTGGCTCCAGCCTCTTCCAGTTCAACTCACCCAGCAAGTCCCAGTCTTCACAGCCTTCCCTACCAGCTGGGGTCCAGATGTTCCTTAACTTAGCCCTCTGCTGAGAATCTGTGGAGTTGCCTGTACTAGTAGATATGTGCACATGCGTGTGCACATGCACACACACACACACACACACACGGTCTTGGAGAGCACAGCTTACACAGTGCTATATGTACCCAGGGACAGTGGTGTCTTCACCCCAGGAGGTGTGGTATTCCTCCCCTTTCCCAGACCCTGGGCCACCGTAGGGTCCCAGCAGACCCACAGGAAGGGAGTCCAGGTCTGGCTTTGTCTGGTGGCAGCCACAGCCAGCTCTCGCTGAGCCTCTGCAGCGTGTGTGGTCTTATGCACGTGTTGGGATCCAGAGACAGATAGAAGTGGTCACAGTTCCACATTCAGGAGCTGCCTGTCTTTCTAAGGGCCTAGTATCTGCCAGAAACCCAGGGGCCACTTGGCTCCCAATTTGGAACTGAGGTACTAGGAACCCTCCTCTACTCCCAGGCCTAGGCAACAACTCTAGCTGTCCCAACCACCTCTGCTCTGCCTGTCATTTAAGGATTCTCCACAATGGTCCCTTCTCCCTTTTTTATTTAAGCAACTGTGAATTGAGGTGAGGAAGGTGTGCTGGGCCTTCTGTGTGCTTTCCCTGCCTGTCTCGGAGACACACGAAGGACAGCAGATACTGTGAATCCAGTCCCCGCGGCCCGCAGTGAAGGGGATGGGAAAGGCCGGGGGCTGTGCCGCGGGGAAGACGGTGCTCCCCCTAGGGTGGAAGTAGAGCCCAAGCTTTGGCACCTCCGGCCTCACCTCTGAGACCTTTCACTCCCAGAGCTGCAGTCCCCCCAGGTTTCTCTGATTGCTGTCTTGAATCCTCGCTGGGTTCTTAGTGAACAGTATATAGCAGAGTGGATCTCTCCATGTCTCCAGTTTACTCTCTGCTGCCCCATGGCATTTTTTTCTCATGGTCCGTTGAAGCCAGTGTTACTCTGTGGTGATGGGGTGGGGCGGAGACCCCAGTGGAGAGCCGTGGGGAGCCTGCACTGTGCTGTAGCATCGGTCGGGATGTCATCAGGGGCATTCCTAGCGTCTTCTGTGGCCACCAGGCACACATTGGCTTTTTGAATGTGATGTAAAATTTGTACAGTAAAAGTTTTTATATTTTCTATCCATCGTGTTTGTCTTCCAGAAATGCTTTAATTTAAATTAAAATGGTTAGTATTAACAAGTGTGCTGTATTGGTTTTATTTTGTTTGTTTCTGGTGTTGTTCTATCACTGGGAATGAATATACAACCCGTGTCCAGCAAGGTCACGGGGTAGGAATTGGGCTGCTTCATCTGGGAAGATAGATAAAAAGGTAAAATCTTTTTACCCAAGATCATACAGCTGTGGCTGCCAGTCCAGGTCTAAGCTGTGACTGGCCTCCCTCTACCAGAAGCTGGGGAGCCCACTGGTCCAATATCTACTGGGCTCCTGCTGTGTTCAAAAGATAGTGCTGAGGTAGGGTTAGTGGCTCACACCTGTAATCCCAGCTCTAGAGGTTAGGCAGTAGATTTAAGATTTGAAGGCCACTTTAGGTCACAGAGTGAGTTTGTCTCAAACAAACATAAATAGTACAAAACCATGGACCATTTTTCCAGTATAGATCATAGAGTAGACAACAAATTTGTACCAGGCCGGGTGCTGATTGCTCACACCTATCATCCTCGCTACTCAGAAGGCTGAAAGCTAAGGATCACAGTTCAAAACCAAACAGAGCAGGAAAGTCTGTGAGACTTGTCTCCCATTAACCACCAGAAAACTAGAAGTAGAGCTGTGGCTCAAAGTGGGGCTGGACACTCAGGGCCAGGGCACTGTCCCTGAGCATTTTTGCTCAAGGCTAGCACTCTACCACTTTGAACTTTTTGAACTGTGATGAAAAATATAGAAATTTGTAGAAATTAAAGAGCACATTTATAACCAGCGGATCAAGGCTGGGAATGTGGCTCAGTGGTAGAGTGCTTGCCTTGCATACATGAGGCCCTGGGTTCAATTCCTCAGTACCACATAAACAGAAAAAAGCCGGAAGTGGCACTGTGGCTCAAGTGGTAGAGGGCTACCCTTGAGCTCAGGGACAGAGCCTAGGCCCTGATTTCAATCCCTAGGACTGGCCAAAAAAAAAAAAAAAAAAATCACCTTTTCATGAGCTAGAAACAGAGGAAACTACTACATGTGAGAAATGACATCGAAAACATGGGATTCAATAGTGGAAGACAGAAGTTCTTCCTCTACTATCAGGAATATGGCGAAGATGCATTTTAAACACTTCAGTTAGGTATAAGCCCAGAAGTTCCAACCAGAGCACTTAAGAAAAAGGACAGGCATTCAGGGTAAAAAGAAGTAAAATAAATAGCCAGGCACCAGTGGCTCATCCCTGTAATCCTAGCTACTCTGGAGGCCAAGATCTGAGAATCGCAGTTCAAAGCCAACCTGGACAAGAAAGTCTGAGAGTCTCTCATCTCCAATAAACCACTCAGAAAACCGGAAGTGGCACTGTGGTAGAGTGCTAGCCTTGAGTTGAAGAGCTGAGGGACAGGGCCCAGGCCCAGAGTTCAAGCCTCATGACCAACCAAAAAAAAAAAAAACTTAGAGCTAATAAATGAATGCAATAAAGTAGCAAAAAACAAACAAAAATAAAGTGCCTTCTTGTACACTAACAGTGAACAACCTGAAAAGGGAAACAATTCCACTTATAATTGCATTTTAAAAAGACTATTTTAGGTGGAAAGTTAGACAATGAAATGATAAAACATGGCTGAATGAAGGGACGCATACCACACTCACTGACTACAGCGACTCCTGGGGGATCCAGGGCCTGTGCCTTCCTTCCCGGAGGAAAGAGACTCGCTTCAAGCTACCAGAAGAACCTGATTTCACAGGGGAATCTATGTGTCAAGTCAAGAGCCAGGCTCATAACCATGTTCCCTCACTGCCTTTTACCTGGGTGATCCCAAGCTAGCCACTGTCCCCTTCTCTAAGAGGAAATGACATTTTTCTCATACAATTTTCTTGACAGTGAATGTTGTTTTGTGCGAATAAGAACCAGTGTTGCCAGACTTCCCTCTTTGTTAGTTCTGTAGAAAACAGGACTCCTTCTACCTTGCTCTTCTCATATCTTTGCATACAAAAGAGATAGAGCTGTTAGTCCTGCCACATTCCTTCTACCTATCTCAATCAGCCCTCCATGAGCCTAGTGACCCAAGAGCCAGCAGCTGAGTCACATGCTGGCTTCCCACTCCACCCTGCTCTGAAGAGAAACCAGGAGACTAATTCTTGCAGAACCTCACCCATATTCCCTGCAACAGATGTTGGGTTAATGAAGGGAGGCCTCACTCCAGGGAAGTGGTGGTGGGGAGGGAGGTGGGGGCGGAAACTCTGGTTTGCAGCACTGACTTCAGCACTGGAAGTCTGGGCTGAGTCCAACTGTGTGATGTGGGTCCAGTTGCTTCACCTCTCGATACCTTCCTATCTTCCCGTTCTAGAATGGACATAATTAACTGGACCTACTTCATAAAGATGACAGGATTAAATGTAAGGCACCCAGAACAATCCTAGTGCATAGTAAATATTCTATAAATATTAACTTTTAATCATCACTGTGTGCTCTACGCCGGTCTAATTCCAGCTGTCCACCTGTCTTGCCCTTTGGAACACGAGCCTCTGGTCCACCTTACCCTGCCAGAGCTATAGATTTGCAAGCCAAATACATGCTGTCAACGTTTCAAGATCCCAGGTTTTAGGCTAATATTTATGTAGCAATAGATCATCGAAACCCCAGCTTGATAAGTCAGCCCAGGGAGGAGCAGCCAGAAAGGGGCTCAGAAAAGGTAGCCAGTTGCTCAATTTTCTCGTGTGTCCAAGTGGGGGACGTGGGGGTGGAAGTGGAAAAGATCTGCACATAAAAGCCAGGCTACCCTGCTTCTTAGGTTTCTATAGCTCCTAACATTCAGGCTCTGATTCTTACATTTGCTCATTATTCAGTCTCACTGGACTTTTGGGAGCTTTATCAAAAATATGTAAAAAAAAAAAAAAATCCCCTCATTGGGCACTGGTGGTTCATACCTGTAATCCTATTCAGGAGGCTGAGATCTAAGGATGACAGTTCAAAGCCACCTCAGGCAGAAAAGTCCATGAGATTCTTATCTCCAATTAAGCACCAAAAAGAAAACAAAAAAAGGGGTGGGGGGGGGGGGGTGGAGGACTGGGTAGCTTAAGAGGTAGTGCTCCAGCCTTGAGTGTAAAAGCTAAAAGACAGTGCCCAGGCCCTGAGTTCAAGCCCCAGAACTGGCATTTTAAAAAAAATCATAGTGTTCACTGGAGCACAGTACACCATCTGGTGTCAGGCAAACCCGGGTTTTTTTCCTGTGGAGTGTTATAGTGTACAAAGAGGGTCTGTTCTCTAAAAGCCTAGTGGAAGGAATGATGATAGAAGAGCATTGGTGGTGTAAGCCAGTTACAAGGAGCGCACAGGGCAGACATCACTAGGTACAGGCCATCAGTCTGGTTCCTCCAGCTGTATTGAAATTGAACCCAGAGAAGCCCATCACCAAGCTCACAAAGGCCTAGCTTAGGGCCTTCAAAACAAGGATACTGTGCTCACTTGATCTCAGGATCCTGCCAGTCCTGGGTCTTGAACTTAGGGTCTGAGCTTTGTCCCTGAGTGTTTCCCCTCTGTCTCTGTCTCTGTCTCTGTCTCTCTGTCTCTCTCTCTCTCAGTCTCTCTCTCCATTAAGATTTTATCACTTGAGCCACAGCTCCACTTCCAACTTAATAGTTAATTGGGGAGAAGAGTCTCGTGGACTTTCCCGCCTCTGCTGGCTTTGAACCCTGATCTTCAGATATCAGCTTCTGAAGTAGCTAGGATTAACATGCTGGGGCTTGAAACTCAGGGCCTTGAGGTCAATCTCATCTGTTTGTTCACAGATGGCACTCTACCCTTGAGCCACACCTCTGGCTCCAGATTTTTGCAGGTTAATTGTAGTTAACAGTCTGTTAGCTGTGTCTGCCCAGCCTGGCTTCAGCTTCTACAACTGCTAGGATTATAGATGTGAGCCAGCACCTGGTTATAACCTCGAGAAACTCCCTTTTTCTGTGTTTCAAAATGTCCAGCTGAAAACTAGAATGAGGGAGATGTACTAAACAAATATTTCTGTCAGTCACATGCTACATTTTCCAATTTCTCCTTTCCTCGTACATCAGCACCACTGTTTATTTAATGTTTCCTTAAACTAAGCTTGTTTTTTTTTTTAAACAAAACAAATGTATTACATACTTAGGACTAAGCCTGGATCCCTGTTCTAACAATTCTTCAGATATTGCATTTTCAACTCTTGTTTTTTTTTGTTTTTGTTTTTTATTGTTTGTTTTTTGGTGCTAGTCCTGGGTGCTATCCCTGAGGGTTTTTTTGTTTTTTGTTTTGCTCAAGGATAGTGTTCTACTATATGAGCCACAGTTCTACTTCTGACTTTTTTTTTTTTTTTTTTTAATAGTTAATGAGAGGTAAGAGTCTCAGAGACTTTCCTGCCCAGGCTGGCTTCAAACTAAAATCCTCATCTCTCAGTCTCCTGAGTAGCTAGGATTACAGGCATTAGCTACTATCTATGCATATCTATCTACCTGTCTCTATCTCATGTATGTGTAAATATTTTTAAATTTAAATTTTATTTTATTTTATTTTATTTTTTGTCAGTCCTGGGGCTTGAACTCAGCACCTGGGTTTGTCCCTGAATCTCTCTGAGTTCAAAGCTAGTACTCTACCACTTGCTCTGCAGTGCTTCTGGCTTTTTCTGAATAGTCCATTGGAGATAAGAATTTTATGGTTGGGAATTGTTAGGTTTTTAAAAAGAGGTAGCCAAGTAAGAACAGCACCAGCATGCACGTGGTATTCAGGTAAGGGGTAGGTTTATTCAGTAGACCTGCTGGGACCAGGCAAGGTTGGCACTCCACGTGGCTGGGAAAGAGAGAGGAAAGAGCTAGAGCAGAGAGAGAGCAGAGAGAGCTAGAAAAGAAGAGCAAGAGCAAGAGAGCTAGAAAAGAACAGAGTGAGAAAAAGAGTCTGGGCCTGGGCTAGGCCTTATGTAGGGTATGGGCGGGGAAAGGTGTGGCCACATCAAATTCAGATGTGACCTCAGCGGATGCAGATGTGACCTCTTCCAGGTGTCCCAGTTGCCTAGGTAACGCAGGTA